CCAAAGCCCACATATCCACCTTCCAAACTGGCATCTGCCCTGAGCTCATGGAGGCCCTTTCCAGGGGCAGTTTCTACCAGCTGCGTAGCATGGCCTGTTCCTTGAGGACTGGGCTAGCTTCCTATGCCCCATCTTTCCCTACTGCCAGGATGTTGCCCTTCCCTTTATGACATCCTTATGCCTGAGTAACTGCTTGATTGTTGTTTTAATTTTTCTTAACTGTTGTGTCCTTTCCTTTCTCTTATTTTCACCTCCGATTTCCTGTTTTTTTGTTCAACAGCAGGATCAGGTATGTGATGAGATTTTGCTTGTGGTAGTGGTCTGCTGCTTCTAGTTGGCTCTTTTCTTCTGTTTGTTTTTTCTTTTTTTCTTTTGGTCTGGCTTGGTGAGCTCTGACAGGTAGCACGAAGGATCTCCCCATACTAGGCACCCTTCCCCTGAGACTGAGCATTTTGGGTCATGGGGCTTAACTCCCCCTTTTGGAGGGCCAGAGGGTGGTGAAGCTAGCAGGGCCTGTGCTCAGGTCAGCACCAGCACGCATGCTGTTGCCAGGGTAGTGATGGCGATAACTTAGCTTTCTTCGGTGAAGGCACCAGCCCTTCACAGTGGGTGGCATTGCATGACTTTGTGCTGTTTTCCTAATTCCAGAAATGCTTCTGCACGAGCAAACTAGTTGCAGACATGTGGCTTTACTTGCTGGATGGAGAGACTTGTACATGGTCTCTCAATTGTGGCTTCTACCCTTTAAGGATTGGGTCATGGGGCCTCACTGTACAGGTAGCTTGCCATGGGAATCAGTGTTTAGTTCATAGTGGCTAAGACATTGCCCTTTTGGGTCTCTTCTGAATATTGCCTGCAGGCTTTAGGATTTGAGTTTTAGATGGCTGGAAGGCAATTTGAATCTCACAGGAAAGGACTAAAAATTGAAATGCCTGAACTTTTATTTATGCTGCCTCAGAGAGGTGGGCCCCCTAAATCTTGGCACACACCCTCAGCCAAAAAAAGCTTTTGTACCTCTAGTCTCATTCTGACCCCATCTCCTACTCTTAAGGCATGTTAAAGACAGGGACTTTAGGACAGACACATGGCCTTAGTTTTCCAGCATCTGTTGTACAGGTGGACCATACTCTAGCTCTCTGCATCCCTGCTCCCATGCTGGGCCCAGAGCAGAGTGCTGGCTGTAGTTGGTTCACACAATACACAGGGTCTGTATATGGGGCTTGCTTGCTCTGGGCTTTGGCAGTGTGTCGGAATATTCATACATGGTTCTCTGGCTTGGTGTCTAGATGGTGGATGGTGAGGGGATCTCCGTGAATCCCTTGTGACTGGACATGCCTAATCAGCTTGAGTCCTGGGCTCTCACATGTACTGTGTACAGTTGTGAACATAGAAAAAAAAAAAAAAGCCGGCATTTCTTCCCCTTAATGCACTATTTTAAATGGTGCTGCCTCCTCACGTGGTTTTAATTGACACATTGGGCTTTCTGTGAGATCCTGGGCCTCGTAGTTCCCTCTAGAGAGCTTACCTCGGACAGTGAGCTGGGACAAGTATGTAGCCCAGCCATCCTTGGGGGTACAAAACATGCTAAAAGGCTATCTTATGGTAGCCTTGAGTAGAGCAGCAGAGGCTGAGGGCCGCTTCCTCCAGGTGGAGCTGGTGTCCGGGCACTGCCCTCTTGGATTGAATCTGAAAGCTCAGCCTGTGAGGGGCAGGAGTCAGCTTTCTGCCAGGGTCTTAGCATCCTGACCTTGGTGTCTAAGGAGGGGTTGGAGGGTAGCAGGCACAGGCTGGCTGACAGTGACTCTTTCTTCAGCAACCCAAGGAAATTTGCGCTCTGGTTGGCTTCTGTGATGAGGTCAAGAAAGTACCAATGAAGACTTTGGTCCCTGCCAGCGAGGCCATGAAGAACACCTTCCCTGCCCTGGAACTGATGGACTCCTATGAGGTACCTTCAATCACTGCTGTGTGCTCCCAGAGCCCGTACCCTCCCCTTCCTCATTGTCATGCCCTCTCAGTCGCCAGTCAGGGTAGCAAATGTATTTGAAATTGAGAGCTGGGGGATACTCCTATTTTCAGCTGATTGAGGGCCTGGCTCCCAGCTAACCGTTTCACGTGTGCTTTCTGGGTCCTGTCTTCAGAGCCACAGTATAAACTGGAGGCTCCCCAAACACATGCCCTGGGGTAGAAGCCTCTTTGGACTTGTTGCCCGTGTGTGTATGTACACAGGCAATATTGTGTCCTTAGAACCCTTCCTTGGCCGGGGTACCCTGCTTCATACCATAAGTCTGCATTGAATATGACCTGACACCTTCACACACAGCACGTACATGCTCTTCTGATCCAGGAATACCTATGTTGTCTGGCCACCAGCTGTTTTCCTGTTCTGTGTCCTGCACAAACTTCTGGTTCATTGCCACTGTGGCTTCTGGTCCTTAACCGTCCCCTTGTCTTCTCCTGCACACAGACTCCTTTGGTTCTAGATCACCCATGGCATCTGGCCACCATCTGTTCCCCGTCCTGCCTCCTCTGTGTCAATGTGTGGCCACAGGAGAGATGGCAAAGCATCTAGAGTAAGGGAATTGTCTGGGTACCACTTCCTCCCCTTTCCCAGAAAGAAGGCAGTCATCTGAATTAAGAATTCTAGGCTTTGGAATAAGAGCCTGTTGGACAGCAGAGATGAAACTCAGCAGGTGCAGAGGCCCCTGCCATCACTATATTACCAGAGGTGGATTCTGGAAATCAAGAGCTGACGTTGACTTCTAAATAGGCAGACACCAAATCTGTTCTACACTGCCATCTAATTCTCCCACCTGAACATAGTATACAGAGTGATGAAGTGTCCAGGGGAAGTGTTCCAGGAAGAAAAGGGCTGCTGTGTGGTTTTGGGGGTAGAGGGGTTTCCCCACCCTGTAGCTAGAGCATTGTACTGAAGAACCCATCATCACTTTGCATTGGGTAGGCAGTGGCCATTGTTGAGGTTTGCCATTCTGTGGCAGGAACACGCCTCAGGAGGTTAAGTCCCAGCCTTAAAACATTCTCTCTCTTCACAGGCTCAAAACATTATTTTCTGCAAGGCTTGTCATTTTGTGATGGAGAAGTTGTCTACACTAGTGGCTAACAATGCCACTGAGGTATGTTTCCCTCTTGCGTGGGGTCCACTTGCTGTATTCGAGTCAGAAGGTGCCCATGGGACATGATCTCCTGACAAATGCACATCCCAGTACCCAGGAGGGAGGCTTCCAGCAACCTGTGCATTAGCCATTGTGCTCCAGGGGAGGGATCCCACCGTTGGTCCGTTCCCTGGTGGGTCTAGGGTCTCGTCTTCCTCGCTAGGTCCAGTCTGATGCCATCCTTTCATCTGTTGCAGGGACTAATAATTCAAGCTGTGGGCAAAGCCTGCACACTGCTCCCCGCTCCCTCTTCCACCAAGTGCACGGAGGTGGTGGCAACATTCGGCCCCTCTCTGCTGGACATCCTTCTGCGTCAGATGAGCTCGAGCTTTGTGTGTGGTGCGATCCACCTGTGTTCCGGCAACCCTGATTCAGTGGAGACACTTGAACAGCCCGCAGTGCCCATTGTGCCTGCACTGTCTAAACAGCCCGAATTGCCCAAACAACCTGCTTTGCGCGGTAGGTCCAGGGCACATAGAGGGGAAAGAGGGCCAAGGAGGACTCCAATACTGAGCCCTGTGTCCTTTGTGTAGCACATGTACCTCAGAAGACCGGTGGGTTCTGTGAGGTGTGCAAGAAACTGGTCACCTATTTGGAACACAACCTGGAGAAAAACAGCACCAAGGAGGAGATACTGGCTGCACTTGAGAAGGGCTGCAGCTTTCTGCCTGACCCTTACCAGAAGGAGGTATGGGCGTGGCTGTTCACTAATGTCCCAGTCAATGTCCTTTCCCTCTAACTGCAGGGGGTCCTGTGTTCTCTAGGCTTGAGGCTGGGAGGCAGCAAAGAACCTAGGTTCGTGAGGTCAGTCCCCCAGAATGTCTAGCTGCATGGATACAGCCAAATCCCAACCCATGTCCCTTTCCTTGGCAGTGTGATGACTTTGTGGCTGAATATGAGCCCCTATTGGTGGAAATCTTGGTGCAAGTGATGGATCCTTCCTTTGTGTGTTCGGTAAGCCTCACCGGGAGCCTGGCCCTGTAGCAGCATGGATGTTGTCTAGCAGGGGTGGAATGGGGTCAGGGAGAAAGATAGCCAGGCTGCTGTCAGATTCTGGGACTTCTTTAATCTCAGCCCTGAAGGGGCTTGGCCAGGCAGCTCATTTTCTTCTTTTGTGCTTTATCAACAGAAAATTGGGGCTTGCCCTTCTGCCACTAAACTGCTGCTGGGAACTGAGAAGTGTGTCTGGGGCCCGAGCTACTGGTGTCAGAACATGGAGACTGCAGCCCGGTGCAATGTGAGTGTCCTAGACTGCCCTCTGGAGAGCCACAGCCCTCACTGTTCTTGTCAAGGGGTGGATACGTGGGTACTTACGTGACATGGTAGCAGTCAGAGAATAAGTTTGTGGAGTTATCTTCTTCCTCCATGGTGTAGTCCCAGGGATCAGGCTGTGCGTGGCAATGTGTTCTTACCCACCGAGCCATCAGTGTCCCCTAGTAATGTTTCTCCCTTGTTTCACACATGATCACTAGGATTGTACCAAACCTGTAGGACCCAGAGCCTCTGCACAAGTCCTCGTAGGTCCTAAGAGACCCAACATGAGCTTTGACCTAAGGGTACTCCAAAGGTGTTTATGAGCGGGGGTGGGGGTCTGAGGACCACAGGTTCTTTTGATTGTGTCCTAGGTTTTCAGCATCTGTGACTTGAACAAAGTCAGGAGTGATGCTGATTTGCATGTGACCCATGAATGTTTTGTCTTGTGCAGCCTAACCTGTTTCCTTTTCTCCTCCCAGGCTGTCGACCATTGCAAACGCCATGTGTGGAACTAGTTTTCCAGCTTGCAGAAGTGCAGTCTACCTGTGGGTCTAGCATAATGAACACACAGATCTATTTGACTTAATTCTAAATAGGCCCCCCCCCCCCCCGCCCTTTGTCCTTCCTCCATCTTGTAGCATTACTGTCATGTGAGAGGCGCTGACAGCCCCTTTCAGTGTCCCCTTTCTGCTTGAAGGATGAGGACACTCAGGGATCAGCCCTCCAGCTGCCCTTTCACCCGTATACTGGAGGGGGTGGTGAGCCAGAGGGCAGGAGCATCTTCTGAGCCCTGACTTGTGTGGGGATGGGGCTCTTACGGCCACCTCCTACCTTGAAGAGGGAGCTGCTCCCCTTCCTGTGGTACCAAGGAGTTTCTATGGATAATTAGAAACACAGAATAATCAGGTCTTTAGGATGATGAAATTGCCGTTGTCATAGCACAGAGATTTCAGAAGCACCTGCAGGTGGCTTGCTTGGGATGTTGCTGTCTAGGTCAGCCTTACCCCTCTGCTTTCCTGTATTCCCCTGTCTGCCTTGTTTGGGGTTCTGTGGGCTAGGGTGGGGAGGGAAATTGCTGAATGTAACTTGCCCATGTGAGTCTGGCCTTTTTTTGTTGTGTGAGGCCCGGGAAGAGTGTTGTCTGCCCAGCTGTCGCCCTGCACGCCCCTTTGCTACCTTATAGCTCTTGTTGAATTGCCCTTTTGCCACCTCATAGTGGATGAAGCATCTGCCTGGCAGCAGGTGATGAACTGAGGGGTCCCCGTGTAGAGTAGGTACCGTCTGTTGAAGAACTGAAGCTTCTCTCGTGCCTCCGGTTGCCAGGGGACAGCCAGCAGGATGGGCATGTGCAGCTAAAAGGACCTAGATATTAATTTGTTTTGCACTAAAGTTTCTGTGACTTAATAAAGTTCTGTTAACCACATCTGGGCTTGTTTCTTTGACACCTCAGCCAGAGGCATGTGGGTTCTGAGCCCACTGCCCCTTCAGCTCCTAATGGCCACTCCTTGCCAAGAAGCCCCTCCCATCCCCCAGAACCTCATACGTCACCAGAGGCAGTGTATTGCTGGTTCCACGTGAGTTGCTTTTCTTTTTAAACAGAGCATTCCAGAAACTTTCATTGAGTATCAGTTAAACAAAACCTGGAGGAAACCTTGAGGGAATAACTTAATTTAGAAATACACACAAACACTCTATATTCGAAACCCAAGGGGACATCGGTCATGTCTCTCAACTAAGCAGTCAAGAAGACAGGAAGATGGGATGGGTACTGGGTTGCCGACATCAACCTGGTGTGTTCAGGGGCAGGGAGCCACCTGGATGTCCAGCAGGCAGAAGTCCAGTAGGACTTGAACTGAGGCAGGGGTGTGCCAGCAGAGTTGTCACTTCTGTGCAGGACCTCTGCTCCATCGTGGTTGCATAGGGAGGAGCTGCGCTGGTCCTCAGTCTCTGGGGGCTCCCCCAGCGACCCTCCTTACCTTTCTTGTCCTTAGACACTTAGCATTTTTAAAGTTTTCTTAAAAAAATAACCGATTTTATGAAGGTAGAGATCAGATGCTGAACCAGTATCTGGCAGGAGGCCGATCTGAACAGCCGGCCCAGGCTGTCAGGGCCAGCCCAAGGTCGTTCACGAAGGCTGGACTGGGCAGAGAGTTGGCCATGCTCCTGCCCTGGAGGGTAGTGGGGTGGGCTGCTCAGCAGCGAGGCTCTACATCACAGCTCTGTGATTTCCAGGGGGCTCTCCATGATCACGTCTCGAAGCTTGTGCAGAGGGGTGGACTTGGCTGACTCTGTGCGGGCGTTGCGCTCAAAGGCCACTGCCTCTGAGGCTGTCAGAGTCTCCAGCGAGCGGTCCAGCCCCTTCTGGTCATCCTCTGGCAAGCTATTGAGGTCAGTGGCCAGCAGGGTACCTGTGCTGCCGTGCACCATGTGGATTCCGTCCGGGCCCTTGAGCTCCATGGGTGGCTTGTGGCGGAAACGGAGGCTGCCCTGGCTGGGGCTGTGGTCCCCAGGCTCCTCCTCCAGCTCAGTGTGGATCAGCTGCAAAAGGTGGGACAACCTTATGGATACAGAAACCACAGAGGGCTGTGCCTAGGGTTTGAGTAGGTGACTCCAGAGCTGTACTGGCTGTAACTGCTTCTTCACTGTCTCTTCTAATGGATCCACTCAGCAGGCCTGCCAACCTTCTCAAATGGAGGGCAGAGGCTGGATATTAAAAGGGTCACCACATGTCATCAAATGCACCAATCTGTGGTGTCTGGGTTTGTAAGGAAGTTGACATTAAGCATGGCCAGGTAGAACCTCCCCAGAAGTGGGAGGAGCACATTAGCTCCGCCCAGGCTTTCTGTCCCTGTTGGTAGCACACACTGGTGAAAATGGGCTTTAGGGAAAGCCAGTGTAACTGTCAATCTCTAGCTGCTGGAATAGTAGCTAATCTAGGACTACTTGGCCCTTTTCACTCATTTCTTAAAGTGAAGGTCCCTTAGGAGGTGGTTTGGGGTTCTTGGGTGGAAAGATCCTAGAGTCCAGACAGTACAACCTTCTTACTGAATTCTGGAGCTACCTCTAGCACAGCCTTTGGGCTTGGCTGGGAGGTGAGAGGGGGTGGGGAGAGGAAGAGGAGCAGAGATAGAGAACTCCCCAGTGTCGGGGTGGTAGAGTGCGGGAAGCAGCAGCATCCCCAGGAATGGGGCACGGCACACTGGCACACAGATCCCCGCTCCCGAGGCTACCTCGCTACCTCGGAGATGGAGGAATGGCAGGAGGAGGCTTTTTGCACCATCCGTTGTGCAAAGAGTTTTTTGAGCCGTAGGTAATCCTCCAGGACCACCTTCAGCAGCGAGCCCTGAGGGGAGGAGAGGGTTAACTCTCCACTTAGGCTGGCACCTGCCCTAGCCCCCTTGCACACACTCCCATGGCAGTGAGGGGGGCACAGGTGTCCGGCCCTAGAGCAGAGAAGATGGGAGGAGAGAGCATGATCACTGGCCAGCCAGGTGGCCTTTGGGACACCACAGACCTCACTAGTCCAAACCCCCTTCAGTCCTGATATAAGGCAGGTCCAGATAAACCTACAGTTTCTATCTCCCTGCACCCCGAGTTAACGGTCAGATTCTGGTTACAGGATCGCGCAAGGGAGGGCTCACCTTAATAGGCCCCTCTCGAATGATCTGGCCCAGCTTGGCAATGTTGTCATATTCTTGGATAGCTGCACGCAGGTATCTGTCGTCATCAGGTTTGACTGCTGCCGGCTCACGCCCAAAAGTTCCCTGGAGAGAGGGAACATTGGCTGGAGCAGGGGGATTGACATCACATGCAGACAGCAGAGGGGACAACCCTCCAAGGTCTCCAGCTTGGCCACAGGCTGCTACCCTGGCTCACATGGGTGCGTGTGGGGCTGTTCCACAGATCTGCAATCTCACTCAGGTTCTCAGGCAGGTCATCCTCATGCTCAGCCTGCGCAGCCAGCTCCAGGTTCCGGCAGAAAGGGTCCAGCCACACAGGGTTGGCTCTGCAGTTGGGGAGTGGGATAGGGTGGGCAAGATGCCTTCATAGCATTGCTTCTAAGACTCGCCCATTCCCTTGGCCAGCCATGGTGCCTTCCACAGGTCTGCATAAGAACTCTGCCATGGCACCTGTGGCTACATCCTTCTATCCTAGGATCCTACTAGAGCCAGGACTGCACGCCAGTCTGGGTCAGCTTTGTCAGGGAAGCCTTGCCCACTCCCTATGCCCCTTAGTAATCGGACCCGGACAGCACATTTCTGAGAGTGCAGAGAAGTGACTAGCCCACTAGGGGGTGCCCACACTCCATGTTTCAGCCAGTGGCTGCCACAGATACTTGTCACTAGCTGGGTACTGCGGGGATCTCCAAAGGGGATCTGCAGACTTGGGGAGCCCACACACCCGTCAAAGGAGTATTTGTTGGTATTGGGCATGTCCATGATGTCAATGAAGCCACGGTTCCCTGCAGGGAGAGGATTTGAGTGAGGAGGGAAAGAGTCCAACCAATAGGAGCACCTGGACGCCTTACCCTGGCCCCAGCCTTTGCTCACCTGCAGAACCAGCCACAATGGCCTTGAGCTTCCTCTTGTGTCTGGAGAGAGAGGAGGGGGAAGGGGGGAGGAGAGGGAAGAATAGAGGGGAAAAAGAGAGGAGAGATGGGAGGGGAGGAGAGGGGGAAAGGAGGAGGGAGGGGAGAGGGAGAGAGAGTCAGTCAGGGAAGCTGTCCTGCTATCCCTGGTCCTTGGCCCTGTCTGCCTTGGTGCCTGCTGGCAAGGAGACCTTGACCATTCTGGTTCAGGGGTCACTCACACGGTCCTGTAGTACCAGTTCATGAGGACGAAGAGCATGGCAGCCAAGAAGAGAAGGATGGCTAGGACAATGATGGCCATCTGTGGAGACAGCAGGCCAGCCATCAGCAGGCGGGTTCAGGGGCACAGCCCAGACCCCAGGGACTGGCCCCACAAAGGGTACCTGCAGGGCAGACATGTCATCCGGCAGTCGGACAGAGATGGCGGGCTGCACGTCCAGGACATTGTAGTTCCGGAAGAGGTTCCGCAGCTGCTCCTTGTTCTCATCGATCATCTGGATGACCCTGCACAAGGGCCGGGGTCTTTGCTTCATCTCCGCCACCCACTGCCTCCAAGAGGCCACCACCCTCCACCCTGGGGGCAGTGTGCTCCACTCCCGCCAGGAGCCTCAGGATTCACATTCTGCTCTGAAGCTTCGCAAGGGAAAAGCCACCTAGCTGGGCAAGTTTAGCGTCTTACAGGGCCCCCAGGCCTGTGTCCAAGGTCCCAATGGACTCCAAATGGACACTTTAATGGACAAGAAGTGTGTCATGGTTTCAGTAGGAAAGGCACCAATGAGCTTATTGAGTTGAATGCTTGATCACCAGGGAGCAGCACTATTAGGAGGCATGGCCTTCTTGTTGGATAAAGAGTGTGTTCATTGGGTGGGGGTGGGCATTGAGGTTTCAGATGTTCAAGCCAGGTCCCATGTCTCTCTTCCTGCTGCCTGTGGATCTGGATGTAGAACTCACAGCTACCTCCCCAGCACCATGTCATGTCTGCCCTTGCGCCGCCATGCTTCCCACAGTGACAACAATGGGCTAAATCTCTGAACTGTAAGCGAGCCCCAATTCAGTGTTTTCATTCATGAGTTCCCACTGTCATGGTGTCTCTTCACAGCAGTAGAAACCCTAAGACAGAGTGAGGCCCAGAGGGATGAGCATAGCTCTTGGTGTCTCTTATTCTTCCCCAGCTCTGACCATGCACGGAGGCCAATAGCAACGTTCATGTCTCCTTTGGGGGTTCCTACCCCTCAAAACAGGCAGGCAGGCCAGGCACACCCCACCACACCTACCTGTCCACATCCAGGATGCGGTTTGTGTCCCGGTTCACCACGTGAATGAGCAGCTCTGTCTGAGCAAAGTTCACCCGCCCCTTCTTGTCCACGTGGAACTGGGGGAGAAGGGAGTTTGTGGGGTCAAGCTTGCACAGTGGAGAGGAGGGGATGGGAATGGGATGGGCAGGCATCTTGCAGGATCCCATCCAGCCTATCTGATAAGCCCTATCATTACCAAATCTCCCTGATGTGGGCACTAACTTCTACACAGGGCTCATTCATAATCAGCCTTATTTATAGATAAGGGGATGGAGCCCCACAGGCCATGTAGCTAGGAAGTGACTAAGAAGGGATCTCATCTGCCCCTTCTCTTCCCACTGCCCAGTCCTAGGGCCCCGGGGGCACCTGCACATCATCGGTGTTGACAATGGCACCCGTGATGTTGGAGAGCAGGCGGATAAATTCCTCCTCAAAGCCACGCACACGGTCTGGGATCTCGTTGATGACTATCTTAACACGCTGGTCGTCCCTCAGGATATAAATGCCGATGATGGCAGTATCATTGTGACCAGCCAGGTCTCGGGCCACAATGTCTACCACAAAATATCCAGGACTGTAGGCCATGAAGAGATCAAAGGTACGTAGGATGCCATCCACACTCCCTGTGAAAGAGTCCGGGGGGGATGGCACAGCTCAGTGGCCACACACTGATGCTGAACCCTGCCCCCTAACCCTACATCCTTGGGAAGAGGTCATATTTCTTCACCACCTCACCCTGAGTACTGGGGTAATGGGCCTATGCCACCATGCCTGGCTGAAATCCCCTTATTTTTAATGATTACTCCAAGTTTTTGTTTAAACACTGAATTTGAAATAACTGCAGACTCTCCTGTCCACAGATGATTACCAATTCTGAGATCCAGAGAGCGGTGGTCCTCAACCTTCCTAATGCTGTGGCCCCTTTAATACAGTCCCCTCAGGTTGTAGTGACCCTCAACCATACAATTATCTCATTGCTATTCTATAACCGTAATTTTGCTACTGTTAGGAGTCTTGACATAGATATGTGATATACAGATGGTCTTCCGCGACCCCTGTGAGGGGGGTTGCTCGACCCCCAAAGGGGTTCTGACCCACAGGTTGAGAACCACTGCACCAGCCACAAGTAGTTCAGACTCCCACAAAACACAGCAGAGACACCCAGAGATGGCACAACCTATATGATTGTGAGAAAGACAGGCCTGGAGTCAAAACCTGCTGCTTTCTATCTGGAGGCTAGCTCCCTCGCTCCTCTGCAACTGGGTTTATTAAAGAGCAGCTGGGGCTGGGATCATAGCTCAACGGCGGTGCCAGCCCATCACACCCAAGGCCCTGGGCTCAATTCCTAGCTTCGCATTAAAGAAAGGCAGTGAGAGTACAGGGGAAAGGGGCTGGCATCTGGCTACAAAACTCGAGCAGGTGGGATCTAAACTAGACCTTGAAGGACAAAGGAGGCATTATCAGGCACGAGGGAGGTTGGGATAGCATCGAGAAGTAGAAAGGCAGAAGGGTCAGGGGCCTAGGGGCAGATGGAGTAGACTAGCCGAGGCAGTTTGGCTTATCTGGAGACAGAGCCCATATGGATGGTGGAGGGCTATGAGGCCAGAAGCAGGGACTAGAAGGAAGACACGGGAGCCCTGGGTCTCAGGCCAAGTCTTCCTGGCAGTCAAGACTGACACACAGATGAGAAGCCCGCGTGGGTGGAGAGTAATGGGCGCCTTGCAGGCCCTGCCCCAGAGTGTCCTGCCCGTGCACACAGGGAAAAGCTCTAGCAGTGTGTGCATTCAGAGCTGGGCTGTCAGCTCCCCACAGTGCCTTGCCCGATGCCTGACAGAGAAGGGGGACAAATGCAAAGATGGGGAGCATCGTGGAAAGGGGGATGGGGAGAGGGTGGATGTCAGAGAGAGGGAGGGGTAGTTGGGTAGATGAATGGGTGGACAAGAAGATGAGAAAAGCAAAAGAGGACTTAGATGCAGCTCAGTTGATAGAGCTTGCCCAGCCTGCGTGAAGCTCTGGGTTTCATCCCCAGCACTGTGTAAACTGGGGCGGGGGGCATGAGTGTGACCCCAGTACTTGGGAGGTAGAGACGGGAAGATCAAACACTCGAGATTCATTCATTCTTTCTTTCTTTCTTTCTTTCTTTCTTTCTTTCTTTCTTTCTTTCTTCCTTCCTTCCTTCCTTCCTTCCTTCCTTCCTTCCTTCCTTCCTTCCTTCCTTCCTTTCTTTTAAATTGAGAGAGGGTCTCACTATATGGCATTGGCTGTCCTGGAACTCAATACCTAGACAAGGTTGGCCTCAAGCTCACACAGATCTGTCTGCTTCTGTCCCTGAGTGCTGGAATTAAAGGCATGCCCCACTGTCTGGCTCAAAATTATAGAGAGATCTCGAAGCCTGCTGGGCAACACAAGACCCTGCCATTTAAAAAAATAAATAAAACAAGGCTGGCAAGATGACTCAGTGGGTAAAGACACTTGCCACCAAGCCTGATGACCTGCTTTTGATCCCTAGGGACTCACATAGTGAAGGAGAGAACCAATTCCTTCATGTTGTCTTCTGGCTTCTCTGCATAAGTTCTGTGGGCATGCACCCCCCCCCAATAAATAAAATGTACCCCCCCCATACACATAGAAAAAGAATCCATGTATAAATGAAGGGGCAAATAGGTAAAGAACAGACAGAATAGCAGAAACTGGATGGGCGAACAGAAGGGCTGACATGGATGGCCACCTAGGGCTTGTGCTCAAACAGACTCCATCTCAGGACTGAAGTCCATGCAGTGACAGGGGCTCCTACCCATGGTGAAGACCTGGCCCACATCCTCAGAGTCGTTGGCAAGGGCCCGGAAGTAGTGGATAGCCAGAATGCCGTAGAAGACCAGGCTGTTGTTGCCAATATCTGCATCCAGGGCCAGCACCTGGATCAATTCCGAGCCGACCTTGGCATCGGTGGCCACTCCTGTGGGAACAGGCAGGCCACGTAAATGTCAGGGGAGGAGCCACCCACACCCTCAGGCCCCGGCTGGTCCCTGCACCTGCGGTGTACTCAGCCTTGGTGAAGCGCGGCGGCTGGTCATTGATGTCCTCCAGCACAACGCGCACCTCCTGCAGGGTGAGGTCAGTGAGCAGATCGAGGGCTGGGGAGGGTCCTCGGGGAGGGGCCCAGCTGTGATTGCTGGACGCTTTGACGATGAAGGAGAAGAGGGCTTCCTTTTCCCGATCTAGGTCTCTGAGCACCAGCAGGCGCCCGTCAGGTTGCAGGTGGAAGTTCTTGTCCTCGTTACCAGCTGTGGGCAGACGGGACACAGGGTGAGTAGAGGGGCACTCAGAGTCCTCTGCAAACCCAGGGCCGGTGGGGCACTGGCTCCATTGACCCCCACCTGCAATGAAGTAGTACACGATGGCATTGGGACCCTCATCTGCGTCCACAGCGCCTGTCACGTTGCCCACCAGGGTACCACGGGGTGAGTGTTCAGGCACAGTCAGCAGCTGATACTGGGGGCTTCCCTTCTATAAGAGAAGAAGTAGTTACACGAGGCACAAGCTCCAGCTCTGGCCAGAGGACCTTGGGTATCCACTTTGTGGGTCTGAGGACTTTGTTGCCTAGAGAGTAAGCGGAATTACTATAACCTCCATGAGGACAGGACTTTACTGATTTATCCCCAGGGTCTACGTGCATGTCCCAAAAAGTGTTCTCTTGTGTGCATGCACACAGCCTCTATTGGCCACCCATCCATGTATGTATGTATGTATGTATGTATGTATGTATGTACAAACACACAGACACTACCAAACTCATACCATTCAGTTCTGCTGTCCACTTTTGAGTTTTGACTCTAGACTCCAGAGTCAATTTTCATGCTGTGTGCACACATATGATGAACAAGCCTATATGTGCATACAAAGGCAAAGGTGTTGGACATTTTCCCTCCTTTTTGGATCACTGAGTGAGGCCTTGCATTAGTGCCCAACTTTGAATGCCCTAGGTGTTTGAGGGAAATCTAGACGGAGGCTCACTGTGTGCTAACCAGATGTGTAGCAGGGTAGAGTACGGGCATGTGTGGGCTCACAGGTGGTAAGACCCTGCGGGGGTGTCACTGGCACAGGGGATAGGTGAGCTCACAGGAGGCCTCACGAAGAGGGGCTCGTTGTCATCGATGTCTTCCAGGGCCACCTGCAATGGCTGCATCGTCTCGTACGGCACTGGCTGGCCCAGGTCACTGGCCACCAAGATGAGCTGGAGGAGAGGGAGCCCAGTCAGAGGGGAAAGATAGGGTTGGAGGTTGGCCTAGGGCCCCAAGGAAGCTCAGTGGAACATGTCTCCCAGAGGTGGTCCAGGAGCAACCCACATAGCCCCCCCCCCTCCCGTTGTTCCAGCCCCTCTCCTTACACTGTACACTGCCTGCTTCTCGCGATCCAGGCGCTGAGCCGTCTGGATGAGCCCGCTAACTGGGTCGATGGTGAAGTACTCCCAGTCACGGTTGCCTGCTGTCTTTAGGAAGCTGTATCGCACTGCCCCGTTGAGTCCTTCATCCTTGTCGGTGGCATAGACCTCATACACGTTGGAACGTAGAGGGATCTCCTGTGGGGGTCATGAGAGGGGGTATCTGGTCATGAAAAACCCCAGAGCCAGGCCCTGGTGAGCTCTTAAATCCTTTGCTCCCTCAGCCAAGGCCCTCATTTCTCTAAGCCTCAAGGGCCTGCATTCTTTTAAGATTTAGGTATGACACTGAAGAAAACCGACTGTAGTCATGTGCTGGCCCCGCCCTCAGGATGCCCCAGCAAGAACATGGTTCTTGACTGTTACAAAACTCTCAGCTCAGCCTGGCTTCATTGTTTTCTCATTGTTCATAATAAACTCCAAGCGGCAGTCATCTGGACCCCCAACCACAAAGCCCTTGAAGAGAAAGCTTAGCAAACAGAGCCTTTGGTGTGGAAAGGAATTAGATTATTATTAATTTATGTACCATTTCCTGTCACACACAAAAAAAGATTTGAAGCGATTGACCGGAATATATGAATTTAAATGAGATTGAATGAATTAAAAAAAAAATAGGGTAAAAGAAGAATATAATTAGCATAAGATGGAAGAGCCCCAAGTCTCTGCAGGGTCATTTGAGGGGGTTACGCCACTGTGAGCTCCCTAGTGGGCAAAGCGAAAAGGACTAATGTATCACTGCAGGTATGACACCAGGCCCAGTGCTCCCCAGAGCTTAGTCTTGAGATCATTTTCTCCCGCAGGACCTCAAAAGGCAGACGACTAGATGGTCTCAGCATGGTGCTCCCAGATAAGGGATTTGCTTGAGTCTGTGGGGCAAAGGACAAGCCAGAGATATCCCAACTATACCACCAAGGATCCCTGGGGCCTTAGGATGGAAGGGACGAGCAGAAGACAATGCATTTCCCCTAGCTGGATCGGCCATCTAACTAGACTAACTGGCGTTAGACCAAAGAATGAGAGAACCCGAGCTGTGCATTTTGGTATCAGGAGGACCAGCAGACAGACGGAAGGGCCCTGTGTTTATTTTGAACTATGTCTGGGGGAAGTGGGTGGCAGGAGACCAGATACTCCCTGGTAGAGTCGACGAGCAAGAGCTGATGTGTGTCCTATTATTAGGTCCATTCTCAGATGGAAACGACTCGCAGAAGGCACTTGCTCTAGGTCATTGCTTGAGGAGCCCAAGAGTTGCTTGCACCTAGATCCTTTCCTGGCACCACCTACAGAACTACCCAACCCTTAAGATCTTCTTTGAGCGGCACTGGGCAAGTCCGCTCTCCTCGTGTTGGCCTACAATCTCACAGTGGACCTTTCTACTCTGCCAGATGGTGAACGCAGGATGAGTCAGTGGGCTGCAAGTGGGAACCGAGCGTCAGTGAGAACACTGGCCCCGGCCGGGATCAGGAATACCTCTTTGATGTGCAGGATAGTACCATTGGGTGGGCGCACAAAGACAGGGCGGTTGTCGTTGACATCGATCACCTCCACCAGTAGCATGGTCGTGCCCCAGAGGGGGGGCTCTCCACCATCTGTGGCCACCACAGTCAGGTTGAACCTCTCATAGGACTGGAGTGGCCGCTGCGTGGTCACCAGGCCCGAGTCCATGTCCACGGAGAAAGCCTCTGGCAGTGGGAGAGAGCAAGGGAACGGTCTGACTGGGATGACCTTCCTGTCTCCTCCTCCTCGGGCCAGGACAGTAAGACATGGCAGCTTGCCCCTCCCCACCCTCTAAGCCCTCCTGGGCAGCAAGGGAAGGCCATATACCCATTCCGGGGCCCTCGAGGGAGTAGGTCAGCTGCCCATTGGAGCCCTCATCCTGGTCAGTGGCCAGCATGGTAATGACCGAGGTGCCCGCTGGTTCATTCTCGTACACACTTGTGCTGAACTGCGGTTTGGAGAACTGAGGCCGGCAGTCATTGACATCGAGTACTCGGATCACCACCTGGGGAGGCCACAAGACGGTGAAGGGGCTCCCTTGGGAGACCCCATCCCACAAGGGCAAGGTGGAGTAGGGAGGGAACAGGGCACTACCCTGGTGGAAGGCATCGCCATTTAATTAAGCAAATTATGTTTTGAGACAGGGTCTCAATGGGCTATCCTGGAACTTGCTACATAGACCAGGCTGGCCTTGAACTCAGAGTTCCTCTTGCCCCGGCCTCTCAACTGGTGGGATTAAAGGCATGTGCCACCACATCCATCTGTATTTTTACTTTTTGAGCCAGGGTCTTGGGCTGGGGGTATAGCTCGGTTGATAGAGTGCTGGTCTCTTTGTAGTTAGGTATTCACGAGGTTCTGGGCTCATCTCCAGCCCTTCATACACTAGGCCTGGTTCTACATATAAGCCTAGCAATTGGGAGGTAGAGGCAGGAAGATCCAGAGTTCAAGGTCACCCTCAGCTGCAAGAATTTGAAGCTACCTTCAACTCCAGGTTCTTAAGTATCCCATCTCCAAGGTTGAGGCAAGGAAGGCCTCTTGTATGAGGATGACATAAGGTACACAGTGAGACTTCATCTCAAAAACTGAATAAATCAATCAATAAATAAATAAATAAATAAATCAATAGGAGCCATAAGTAGTTTTCGCTACTATACTGTGTTGGGCACCTGAGGGACTGGACTGTGAAGACATACAAGTGCCCTCTGGGTCACACCTAGGTGTACCTGGCTGTTCATGTGACATTTGGGGATGAGAGGCCCTGTTTCCACTCAGAACAGTCGTTCTCTATGGACTTAGTTTGCTGCTCCCTGCCCTGTGCTCAAGGCTGCTGTTCCTCACCTGCACCGAGTTCTCTCGACGGTTACTGGCCACATCCCCTGGGTTGTCTTTGGCCAAGGCAGTTAGGATATAGTGGTCCTTCTTCTCCCGGTCCAGAGAGGACAGCACATAGATGTCACCCTAGTTGGAAGAGGAGACATTCAGGTGATTCATCAGTTTGATGTGTCTGCTGAGCATCTACACTATGGGCAGACACTATTAGAGTCTGGAGGTCATGCTGGGGAGGGGGGGGGGCGGCCTCTTGTCTCCATGATGCCTGTGTTCTTGCCCTCACTATCGCGTTCTATCTGAGATGCAGTGATCAGCCAGGCTGCAGCTAAGTGCCCGACCAGCGTCTGGCATAGAGTATCTACTCTGATAACAGGCACTGTTCTTAATGCCAGGCACCATACCCGAGTGCTCACACTGAGCAGGGTAAACCCTCCCGAAGGGAGTGCACACAGAGGAACAGAGGGCAACTCCTGGAACCAGGGGGAGGCTCGCTGAACAGCCCTGCCCTTTGCAAGGCTGTCTCCTCACCTTACAAACAGCAGCTTCTGGGCCAAGAGGCAGACGCTTGGGCCCCCAATTTCTACTCTCACGAAAGGCTGAGACTCATGGGGACTTGTGGGTCCCACCCTTTGGAGCACCTTGCTTCTCTCCACATGGAGCACAGGGTCGTGTATATTGCAGATGTTCTAAGAACACGCCCAGTTCCCACAGCACGCCTCATGTGACACTTTCAAGAAGTGGTCCCTGGGACTTGTTTCAAGTTTTGGGGCACATCCTGTCACACCAAAGGGCCAGTTCCTAAAGCTGGTGGCCACTTCCTCCCATTTGTACTAGGACATAAGGGGCTGCGGGCTTAACAACACCTGGAACTCTGGGGGAGAGTTTGCTATCCTTAGATAAAGCAACCTGAAGTCTAAATATATCCAAGAGACAGGACCCAGAAACGGGGATGTGAGGGGTGCTTTGGGTGACTTTTTAGACCAGGACTCTGGGCTTTCCCACTCCCAGGGTCAGGCCCTCCCACGGCCTACTTACAGTGTTGGGGTGGATGGCAAACTTGCCCTCTCCATCCCCCAGGCTATATTCGATGAGGGCAAAGTTGCCCGAGTCAGCATCGGAAGCAGTGACCCTCAGAATGACTGTGCCCACAGCCACATCCTCAAAAACGGCCTCCTAGAGAGAGGGGGGGAGGGAGGGGAGAGGGGAGGGAAGAGAGGGGAGGAGGGGAAAAGGAAGAGGGGAGCATGGTTATCCCCCGGTGCCGGGGTGTTCTGGGGCAGCACGCTGCTCATGCTTTTAGCATTCCTGGGCTTCATGGGGGAAGGGCAAGGAGGAGCGAAAGGCACACCAAAGACCCCAAGGAATAGGTACTGACCCTCACGTTGGTCTGGCCACCCACCTGGTAAGAGGGCTGGTCAAAGATGGGGTTGTTGTCATTAATGTCCACAATTTCCAGGTAGACAGGGATCTCAGCTGCGCGGGGTGGGGACCCATTGTCTGAGGCCCTCACTGTGAAGTTAAGCCAGTGCACCTCTTCATAGTCCACTGTCCGGTTGGCAATGACCTTCCCTGAGACACAGAGGTACCCACTGATGAGGTGTGGCCACTCTTCATCCTGGGATCTCTAGACTTTGGGAAGGATCTGGGGCTCTGAGGGGAGGAGGGGCTCCTGGCAAGGAGCGTGAATAGGTAGCATTGCCCATCTCAGGACAGAGATGGAGGAGAGACTGCCCTCAGTTGTCCTTCTCAACAAAGAGCTAAGAAAGCTCCCTGGAATGGGTATCTGTAACCCCAAGGAAACCCCGAGATACCTCCGTGTCTAAGACCCCATTCCCAAGGGGATATGCTCATAGGAGCTTGGGCGGTAGAAATGGTAGAGAGGGTTCTCTAGGGTTCCAACAGACACCTATGGGCCTGCGTCCAAGCCAGGACTAGAAAATTCTATCTGCTGCTGGGAGCATCAGAAAAGGCTTGGCATACCAACCATCTTGAATCTGGCCTAGGCCACCACAGAACAGGGGTAGGGGTGGGGTCCCAACTAGATATTGAGAAGTGAGTCACAGTCCTTCTAGGGGCTAACAGGCATGGGTATGCATCCCCTACCCTCCATCTCGGAGACCCCTCCACCTACCTGCGGAAGAGTCTTCAAGCTGGACATAGCCTGGGGGTGTGAGGTCCAGCAGGGTATAGGTGATCAGCCCATTGAGGCCCTTGTCAGGGTCAACAGCAGCTACAGCAATGAGTGTGGTACCCGGGGTGGCCCCTTCCAGGACCCGCTCTGTGTAGTAGGTGATCCCAAAGGGCTTGAACTGGGGTGTGTTGTCATTGACATCCAGGATGTTGACCGTGAGCTTGGCTGGGGTGCAGGTGGGAGGGAATACCAGGGATAGATCTGTGTTCCACCGTGGTGCCCGCTGCTCCCTTCCCAGCTCTACTGCTCTTTCCCCCCCCCCCCCCCCCCCCCCCCCCCCCCCCCCNTCCCCCCCCCCCCCCCCCCCCCCCCGCCTAGGGCTGCCAAGCTCAGAGGAGAACAATGTCTCACGTTATTTTATGTGTATGAGATGTCCATGCTCGTGTGTTTGCGTGTGTGAGTGTGGTTTAGGTGTATATATGTACACATGCACATGTGTACGCATGTGTAGGGAGGTCAGAGGTCAACGTTAGAGGCTCTTCAGATCTGTCACTTGCCTGGAACTCACTACGTAGGCTAAAGTGGCTGGTTAGGAACAGTTCAGGGATCTGCCTGTTTTCACCTCCCCAGTCCCGGGATTACAGGTATGTGTTACTGTGCCTAGGTTTATTTTAAGTGTGCGTGTGGGTGTTTTTGAGATAGGGTTCCCCTGTGTAACTCTGGCTGTCCTAGGACTTGCTCTATAGACCAGGCTGGTCTCAAACTCGGAGATCTGCCTGCCTTTGCCTTCCGAGTGCTGGGATTAAAGGCACGGGCCACTGCTGCCCTGCTCACGCCTGGAATTGTGTGTGGGTTCTTAGGATCAAACTTTCCCTCTGATCTGAACATCGCTCTTCTATAAGAGCAGGGATTTGTATTCTACCAGTGGGTTGGGGGGCTCTGATGTGGCCTTTGTTCTTTTCAGGACCACAGTTTTCCAACAAACTTGGAGAGCTAGGATGAAGATGGTTTCTGGCTATTCCTTTGATCTGGGCTTCCCTAGCCCCTCTGAATGATCCCCCCCCCCCCCTCAGCAGAAGCAGCCTGGGCCTCTGACCTTAAAAATCTCAGGATGCGTAAGAGATAAACAAGTACACACTTCCCTCTGGAACACTTGGGCCTCTAGGCTGAGAAGATAAACAGCCAGTGTCTGCCAGGCTCAAGCCACCCCAACAACTGTCCTTGTCTTCTGACAGTAGAATGAGACCATCCCATCCCTTTTTCCACTGCCCCCTCTGCCTAGCCCAACCATTCCAGCCCATAATAGCTTCCCAGCACATGCCTCTTCTCTGTCACTGAGCCTGCCCCACTGTGGTCTGTGGCCTTGAGTCCCCTTCTTTAGCTCTTTGCTTCCTGCCCTGACCCCATGGCTTCCTATCAGATCATAGTTCCTGCTCCTATTCTAGCCGTACCCTGGATTCCAATATTACCCTGACACCCTCCCCTACCCCTCAGAGTCTAAGGGTTCAGATCCCATACATTTAGGGGCATAGTCACCCTGAGTCCCAAAGTGGTTGTCACTATCCTAAGGTACCCCAACTCCTCAGTAGCCCTGACAGCTAAGTCCTGGGATTCACCTCCTTACAGCCAGGCTTGCACTTGGTTCCTAGCCCCCCCCCCAGCCCTCAGAGAGCTCCGAGTGACCCATAAGAGATACTAGCAGGGCATCTTACCGTTTGGCACACTGACGGCACGCTCTGGGAGGTCGCTGGCGTTGTCAATCACTGAGAGCGTGACCTCATAGGTAGCAACCAGCTCGCGGTTCAAGGGAGACTTCACCATCACAGACCCTGTGGGCCGGACCAAGTCAGATTCTGCTAGAAGGGGAACCGCACGAAGTCTGGGCTCTTCAGAGCCCCTGCCCTACCACACCCCCATCCTGATAAAGGGCACTAGTCCCTGATGGACCAGGAGACTTGTGGCTGGGATGGTATATATATATATATATATATATCCATCTCCACTCATAGAGACTGGGGCCCTTCAGCTGGTGCTGGTGACCTTGGACAAACTGTCCGGCCTTTCCTCTCCTCACTGACAAAAGGGGCAAGCATAGCATCACTACAAAGGTTCCAGGGAATAAGAAAACAAAATGAGACTCTACCAACGAAGTACTTAGAACTTTGCCTGGCACATACAAAGTTCTATGCAATCTTTGAAAATAAACACGGCAGCACGATGCGGAACAGCGTGAATGTTCTTGGTCCTGCTAAAGAATACACTAAAAAATGGCTGAGGCGAGCCATGCCCAGGAGTGCCCATCTGACATCCCAGCCATGGGAGGCTGAGGCAGGAGGTTGGTGGGTTTGAGGCTAGCCTGGGCTACAAAGCAAGACCTTGCTTCAAAAACCAAACCAAGCTGAGCATGGTGGTGCATGCCTGTAATACCAGCTACTCAACAGAGTAAAAATAGGGGGCTGGAGAGGTGGCTCATCAGTTAAGAGCACTGGCTGCTCGTCCAGAGGACCCGGGTTTTAGTCCCAGCACACACATGGTGGCTCACAAGCATATGTAACTCCAGTTTCAGGGGATCCAACATCCTCTTCTGGTCTCCATGGATATTACATGCACTCAGTGCACAGACACATAAGCAGGCAAAACACCAGTGCACATAAAATAAAAATTTAAGTAACAAATTAAGAAATCGAGTCATTAATTTAAAAAAAATGAAACAGAAGTCCAAGATAACTTATCTTAAAATATCTTAAAATAAAAAAATGTTAAATATCAGGGCTGGGAATACAGTTTAGTGATGGAGCACTTGCTTAGCTTGCCTAGCATACATAGGAAAGGTCTGGTCAATAGTCAGTATCAGAAAAAAAAAAAGATTTTATGCTCTATGTCACAGTTTCACAAATGCTTATATTCCAAGGAAGATCTCCTGGCATCTGGAACAAGGACAACTACCCTGTGGGGACAGGCTAGAGACCCTAGGCATGCCCCTTTGTCCTAAGCAGAATGTGACATGGTGCTTATTACAGGACAGAAATAGCAGTCTATGTTGATGACAACAGGTTCCTTCTCTTCCCTGCGTCCCCAGCTGCTCCATAAACCAGAGAGAAACTCCAGAAGTTCTGGTTTTGCTGGACAGTCCATCTGTTGGGGCCTGAGTGGCTCCTCTAGTTTCCCCTCACAGGCCCTAGACCAAGATCTCCTCTCCTCTTAGCTAGCAGGGTCTTATGATACCCTTCCCCCTTGGCAGACCCCCTGCTGGGTTGCTGTCCTCCACAGGTCCCCAGCCATGGGTGGTCACTTACCCTGGGTGGCCGCCTCCTCCTCCTCCTCTTCCTACTCTCGCTCCCCGTCCCCCGGGCTGGGGAGCGAGGTTGGGGAGAGGGCAGCTGCGTTCAGTCTGCAAAGGCTGGGCACGGCCTGGGCCGGCCCCCAGGGCAGGAAGGGTGGGGTATGAGGCATGGAGGAAGGCAGTGGGGGTGAAGCAGAGAGGAGATGAGGTGGGAAATGACAGAACAGAGCTCAAACCTGTAGGCCTGCCAGCCGTGAGGGAGAAAGAGAGGGTTAACATTGGTTAGTTCAGGGTGCAGCAAGGAGGGACGGGGCAGGGTGTGGGGTGGGGCGGTGGCTGTGGGACTTAGAACTGGCCAGGGCAGGAGAAGCTAGGATGGGAGAAGGGGTAGAGGGGAAGGGGTGAGAACCCAGCTGAAGTGGAGGGGTTGGAGGATCTGGGAAGAAAGGGTAGGGAAGCCGAGCAAGGGGGGACTGGGGGCCATGAGGAAGGTGGACAGAGAAGACACTGGAAAGAAAAAATAGAGAGAAAAAGAATCAGTGGGAGGTAGCGGGAACAAGGCAGAGAAAAGTTGGGGGAGCATGCTATCCAGGGAAGCAGGGGTTGGGTGGCTCTCCATGGTCCTGACAGACCAGCTGGGAACCGCTTTGACCTGGCCCAGGCTAGCACAGGATACTACATATTTTAGCAACTTCTTCCTGGGCTTCAAGGGTTATACTCCCTCCCCCCCTTTTTTCTTTTTTTCTTTTGGGCTGAAAATACAGGTGAGATTGATCCTACTCTGCCCCATGGCATGCTCTGACTGTGGGCATTTTTTTTGTTTTTCATACCCCCCCCAATTCCCTCACACCCCTCCTCTCTCAGGCAGAGTGTGCATGTGGTCTATGTGTATTGAGACTGATGGTGTAGCTCAGTTGGAGGGTACTGGCCCAGCATGCAGGAGGCCCTGGGTTTGACCCCTCCAGTTCTCTGTACAACAGTCATCTCTTGGGAGGTAGAAGAAAGAGGGTCAAAGTTCTAGGTCGTTTTGGTCCATATTACAAGTTCGAGGCCAGCCTAGGCTGCATGAGACCCCATCTCTAAGATAAAGTATTCCTGGGAACCATTTTGTCCCTTCCAGCTACACAAATGCTGCCGTGGTATGTAGCTCACCCTCTTTTTAAAATCTTTACAGCAAGCACCTATAACAAAGACACCCTTTCATCCCCATTGCTGTGTGCCCAGCCAATGTCTGCTGCCGCCTGGTATCCCATGGTGTGAGCTCACCACTCTTCCCCCTCTGTGCTGCTAGGTCCTGGGGTCTGAACGTACTTCGTGTTTGATTGCTGCCTGATGGGGACCCTGGTCTGTACCCTACAGCAGTGCAGGAATACCAGTGTCCCCACATCACCATCACGGCAACAGCACACTGATGTCTACTCGCTATCTATGGGACACTTGTGTCGCCTCCCTATACATTTCTCCCAGTAACAATGATTTTTAGCATTTCGTCACTGCCATGCTAATTTTTATGACACCCCATATAAGACTCATGCCCTTCCCTGACTCCCCAGAGGACCAAAACCGCTCAACTGTTGGACAAACAGCAAACTGTCAAAATTATAGTAAGCTGGATAGACCACAAAAGATAAAATCATGATTCTGTTCTTATGATAATGGAAGATAAGGGCACAGACATAACTTATAGAAGATTTAAATGCACCAATCAAAGGTGTTTGGCCAAATCTCCTTATTAAGGAAATATGTGCTATTACTGTTTTCCATTTGAACTACAAACACTGCAACTCTGTAATAGCAAATGCCAGCACGGATGTGGGGACATGGGCACCACGGCAACACTGTAGGGTGAAGGAGCCAGAAAGGGCTGAGCAGCTTGTCAAGGAGACGGAAGGCAGGGGCAAGAGGGAGGGAGGCAGCAGAGGAGCAAGGAAAGGAAGAGGGGTGGAGAAAAAGACAAGAGCACAAAGGGAATGGCAAAGAAAGAGAAGGGGAGGGGAGGGAGACAGGGAGGGAGGGAGCTAGGATTCTGGGTCCGGGTCAGGAGAGCTAACACCATTCTCGTACCTGTATTGATATTCACGGCAAAAGCATCTTCCTGGTCAGGCACCAGGCGGTCAGTGTCGTCCTTAGCCACAATGCTGATGATGTGGTACTCCAGTCTGGGGTTGAGGTCAAGGTCGATAGCAGTGACGTTGGCAATGACGGTGCCTGGCTCTGCCGATTCCAGCACACTCACTGTCTGGATGGGGTTGAGGAATTCGGGGCGGGAGTCATTGATGTCATCAATCAGAACAGTGACGATGGCCGTGCCTGACAGGGGGACAGTGCCCCGGTCGGTGGCCACCACTGTCAACCTGTAGGACTCCTGTTCTTCTCTGTCGATGGTGGCATTGCCAACACGGATGACTCCAGTGGCTGGGTGGATGAGGAAGCGGTCCTGAGCCCCAGCTTCTATTCGGTAGACCAGCTCCCCGTTGAGGCCACTGTCCTCATCTGTGGCTGTGACTTGTAGGACTGAGAATCCTGTGGGAAGGAATCGGGGAGTAGGTGAGCATTGGGGCCTCTTCTAGAAAGATCAGGGCCTTTTGCTCATTGTGTGGTGTACATGCATGCATACGTACATGCCTGTGCACACATGGGAGGATGCCAGGCATCTTCTTCCATCAATCTCTACCTTATTTCTTTGAGACAGGGTCTCTCACTGAACCTGGAACTAGACTGGTACCCACTAAGCTCCAGTGATCCTCCTGAGTCCACCCCCATAGGTGTGTACCCACAACCATACCCAGTGTTGTTTGTGGGTGTGGGATTTGAACTCAGATCTTCATGTTTGATGAGCAGGCATCCTTATCCCTGGAGCCATCTCTCCATAGCCCAGAACCCTTTAATGATGCTGCAAAAGAGGCCTCTCCTCACCAGTCTTGACAGCACATATCGCAGTGGCGGCCTCATGTTTCAGAATGTTCATATTATTCCAGGCAACATCTAGATCCAAACATCTCCCCTTCCTCCCATTAAACTAGATTATGAAGAGAATGCTTCTGCATCTATGCTGGTTTAAAACACAGGCTTTGATGAGCACCACCTTGTAATCCCATCACCACGTGATCTCACTTGTGCTCACCTGAGGCTCTAAACCCACACCCCTGCCAATCAGACCCTGGCAGTACCTGGAGGGCAGTTCTCCAGTAGGTGGACAGTGTAAGCGGCGGGACTGAAGGTGGGCCAGTTGTCATTGTCATCCAGGATAGTGACGAGCAGGTAGGCGGTGCCGTTGAGTAGTCCAACATCCTCAGCTAACAGCAGCAGCTCCAGGAGCGGGGGTGAGAAGGCCTCCCGGTCAATGACGACCCCAGACCTCACCGTCACCACGCCTGGTACCCAGGACCACCAGCCAGGGAGATGCACAGGGTAAGGGACACAGCGGGTAAAGAGAAGAGACACCATAGCAGGGCCAGAGAGGAAAGACACGGTGACTTTATTTCCTGAAGACTCAGTTATCCACATCCAGGGGGCACCCATGTTTGCCATGGCTGTCCCTCCTTGGTGGCCTCTGCAGTTCTCAGTCTGCTGGGAGTGACCAGGGCAGAGGATTGACCTGCCCATAGAGAGACAGCTCCATAGGGACACGGTCCATAGACAGACAGACATGCTGCCTCCTGTCCTGACCAAACTGTCGGGACATGGCTCTGGGGAGCAGCTCTCTGGTATGAGAACAGGAGTTACTACTTTGGCTATTTCTGGCTGATCAGGGGGTGTTTCTGTCCAGGACACAGGGCATAAAGAGAGAAGATAGGGGTTGTTTGCCCAGGCCAAGAGTCTATGCAGCAAGAGGTCCCTAAAGTTGCCTCCACGCTTCTTCTTGGGTTCTCCCACTGAGACTCCTGTGGGAGTCTCCATCCGGTTGCAGTGTGGGTTGTGGGCTATGAGGAACAGGGTCCATACTAAGGAAGAGCCCAAGAACAGAGGTTCTCAATCTTCCTAATGCTATGACCCTTTCAAACAGTTCCTCATATTGTGGTGAGCCCTAACCATAAAATTATTTTCGTTGCTACTTCCTAAGCGTCATTTTGCTACTGTTATCAATTGTAATGTAAATATCTGTGTTTTCCAATGGTCTTGGGTGATCCCTGTGAAAGGGTGGTTCACCCCCAAAGGGATCTCAACCCACAGGTTGAGAACTGCTGTCCCAGGCCCAGGGATGGGCCAGTCCCACCCCAGGGTTGACTGGTAAGCTTCAGCTCAGTCCTCACCTGTGCTGTTGTGGATATCAAAGAGGTCACTGTGAGCACCCAGCAGCTGGTAAGTGACTATGGCGTATATATCCTCGTCAGCATCCAGGGCCAGGATAGGCCCATTGAGCACCGTGAGGGGTGTCCCTGAGCCAGAGGGGAGGAGTCACCACAAGCCAGCCTGGTCCCTGCCCTCCCCCCTCCCTGTCCGTGTCCCCCATGACCATGGCTGACAATGGATGAGAGGGGAAGGAGGGGAGGTGGGTGGGGAGCGGGTAGGGAGGCCCTGGGGCGGGCCTGCGGCAGCCTTGGCAGACTGAACGCAGATGCCTGGGAGCGGCCTCAAAGCTCTGCTGGGGAGAAAACACAAGAGCGGTGAGCAAGCTCCTCTGGCCTGCCTGGAGCCATGCCTACTTCCCAGCAGCCTTTGAGGCTGGCCACTCCACTGGAGGATCTAGGGGGCTCCCTGGTGTCCCCTCCATGTGTGAGTCTTGTCTGTCCACATGCAAGCAGATGTTGCTCTATTACAAGGTCAGACTGTACATGGCTATACACACACAGTATGTGGGCCTCTGAGTTCATGTGGGAGTGATTACATGGACACTGAGAACATCCAAGCTTAGGATGCCCCTGGTTGTGCCCTTGTCTGTCTCTCCTGGTAGGCACACTTGCCACTAGTACATCATAGGGCCACCCACATGCCTACATGTGTCTGTGCCCACATGTAACTCCACACACATGCCTTGAGGTGGCAGCATACTGGTAAATGTGTGGACATGCACACCAGCAGATTTAGAAGCCATGTCCACACAGAGGTGACGTCCACTCAGAGACAGTACTATCTCACTTATCTCTCTTCCTAATTCAAAATCAAGGTCTGGGGTGGGGGTAGAGAAGGATAAGAGGATCTCCTGGCGGCATCAAAGGGAGACAAGGTTAGCTAGCGCTGTGTAGACGGTAAGGGCTATGCTGACTAGCTAGGATCCTTGAGCCCATTTCTGATGCCCAATTCCAGGGTTTCTACCCTACAGGACTGGGGAACAGGAAAGGTGGGTTCATCAGTCCTCGGCATCCTTTTCACCTTGGATTCCTCTCTCTGAGGGATAGCGAGGCTGCTTTCAGGTCACCCCAGGGTGATCAATATCAATGACTACTCTTATCTCTCCCAAACAGACCTGTGGCCTCGTTAGCAGCCCCAGCCCCGGAGCCTTGGAGCTGCATCCTCCCCTCTGGCACCCTCCTGCACTCCCAGAGTTCTATGTCCAGCTCTGACCCCCGGCACACAGTGCATCCTCAGCTCCCATGGTCCCAGTGGCATCTGCTTGTACAGTAAGAGTGCCCGGGCGGGCCCAGCACCTACCGGCAGGAGAGTTCTCCATCACCTCTGCCTGGTACGTGCCCTCCGTGAAGAGGGGGTGATTGTCATTCTCGTCGGCCAGACGGACCAGCAATAAGTCAAAATCCTGTGATGGGCAGAGCAGGAGAGGATGAATGCTGTGCTGTGGACAGGGACCGTGCTGAGAGATGGGGGATTGAAAAAGTGTCAAGCAGGGATGTAGAGTTCTAGTCTTCTCTTTGCTGGCAGCTCACTGGGTGATCCTGGCAAGATGCCTTCCCCTGATTGGCCCGTCTCCACTTCCTACTCTGATCAGTAAGAATCTTAATTTGTTTATGGGAATGGTGTGTGGTTGTGGGCCAGTGTGGGTGAGGAAGGTCCTTAGCCACCTACACTGCCTGCTGATGAGAATTTTAGGTTGGATGGCGAGCCCCGGCTTTCAGACCTTCACATCTACCTGATGTTGGCCCAAGTTTACCCATGCTCTCGTGTCAAGCTGTGCCTCAGACTTGTATCCTCTGGGGTCCCTGAATATGATTCAGGAGTGCCAGGGGGAGGGCACAGAGAAAGTAACCCTTGCTTTGAAGCTCTGTGACAGACTTCAGGGAAAGATGGCAGCTTGGAAGCCACATTGGACAAGCAACTCATTATATTTAGGGAACCAAAAGAGACAGGAATAGCTGATCACTCTGCCAGCTGATTCTCCTGTCTCCATAGTCCACTTAATTATCTCCCCCAAACAACTACCCTAACCACAACCAACACAATTGCCACCCCCGCCACGGACACTGTGGACACGGCAGATCAATCCGCGAGATTTACGGAACTGACACTAGGGATCGTAGAAGAAAGGGCTCCCTGAGATGGCCGCCACCGCGACAGTTTTCTGTGTTAGCAGGGAACCCTTTTCAACAGGAACAACCTACAGACCAATCTCTTTATGGAATACAAATGCAAACTTCAACAAAACACTTGCAAACCTAAATAAAAGAAACATTCACAATGATCAACACGATCAAGTTGGTTTCCTTCCAGAGATGACAGGATGGTTCAACATATATTAACCCACAAATGCAATCCATCACATGAATGGACTCAGAGCCAGAGAAGTCATATGATCATCTCCACAGATACGGAAGTGACTAAATGACATCTCTTCATGATATATATCAAGCATCCTTTCATGGACAAGAGAGGAGCTCACAGGGGATTGTTGCCAGAGGTGGGAGTGTTTTTTTTCGGTGTAGCCACTGGTAAGTTGTTTGTGCTCTAGTACATAAACCAGATGGGGAAACTGAGGTACTGAGGAAGCAGTGTCCCAACAGAGCCACCTAGCTGGTCAGAAGCAGAGCCAAGGAAACAGTCGCAGGACTCTCCTAACACCATGGGTAGTAAGAATAGGCCAGCTCAAACCTGCAAGGGCCTGTCAGGTAGCTCCCACTGACTTTCAGTAAAGGGACTGTGCCTTAGCATCTGAAGGACCATGTAGCCCCATACTCCACCCCCCACTTAGAATCTTTAAGTGCAGGTCTGAATCCCATGGGCATGCACATCCATCTGTGGTTTGGGGAAGATGTGTCATCTGACATTCGCTGAGTGTTGGCCCTGGACCAGGCTCTGTACCGAGGACTCAGGGACACAGCATTGAAGACAAAAGGGAGTCTGAGAAAAATGAACTGGCTCAAGCACATACCTGTGGATAGGAGGACTCAGATCTGAGCCAGGGTTTGCTAAGGCAGATGTGTGCTTTTAAGCCTCTGGCAGGCTGCCACCCTCTCTCCAAGGGAGAGGGGCCTCTTGTTCTTACAACTCTCTCACACACTCTGCCTTCCCCCTTTCTCTCCCTCTACCTTCCCCCTCCCTCCCTCTCTCCTCTCTCTCCTTCTATCTCTCACCCCCTCCACCCTCAGGCTCTCGCAGCCTTACCTTTCTGGCTATGCGTGGGTTCTCCGGGTTGTCCTTCACAGAAACTGTCAGTCTGTACTCTGGGATGCGCTCTCGGTCCAGGGGCCGGTTGACAGTGACAATCCCTGTCTGGGATGCGCTGGCTGGTTAGATTAGCTGGCAACTCCCTGCATTCCCCCAGAAGTCCATGCTCTGCCCACAGTTCCTAGGTGGCTGGGAGTACTTTCCCCACAGTGCCTAGCAGATAAGGGCCACAGGAGGGTACGAGGATCTTTCCAGGGTGAGGGTAGGTCAGTGATACCAAGTTCTTGACATCCCCAAAGAGGGGACCTTCCAAGGACCCTAGGTGTCAACAGCCTACACACACTCCAAAAGGCCAGGAAAGAAATTCAGGTGAACGGTGAACTGGCCTGAATTACTGGTAAGTAATTACAGTTTAGGGTTCACGTGTGCCCAGAAGCCGCCTTTGGGGGTGGTGGCTGATGGACATCAGAAAACAGCTGTCCACCAAAGCCAAAGGGGGCTGCTGTCTTACACTGGGTTCCTGGATTGTGCACCACACTCCACATGAGCAGTGCTGGGTCAGGGCAACTGTGGGCTGGTGGCCACAGGAGAGCCTCCCTGGTGCCCGTGAACACAGCTACAACCAAATGACCGCCTTGTTGACAAAGCTGAGGCCAATTCAGTTCTAATGCCTCCTCCCTTGAGCTGTTTAATGAGTGCGGATGGCGCCTCTGCTGGCTGGAATTCCCACAACCTGAGCTGGCTCTAAGAGTTGACTTTTTTTTTTTTTTTTTTTTTTTTTTTTGAGACAGGGTTTCTTCTGTGTTGCTTTGGAACATGTCCTGGAACTAGCTCCTGTAGACCAGACTGGTCTTGAACTCACAGAGATCTGCCTGCCTCTGCCTCCCGAGTGCTGGGATTAAAGGCGTGCGCCACCACAGCCCAGCTTGAGTTGACTTATTTTGAGCAGATTTTTCATCATTCTTTGTTGTCTTATTTATTTAGGCAGGGTTTCTTATAGCACAGACTGACTTCAAACTCAAATGGAGCCAGGATGACCCTGAACTCCTGATCTCCTTGCTGCTATTCCCCAGGTGCTAGGATTATAGATGCACCACCACACCAAGTGGAGGCTTGCTTTTTGAGTCAGGGTTCTTATGAATCCCAGACTAGCCTTGAACTCACAGCAATCCTCCTGCTCAGCCTGGCAAAGCTGGCCAGGATTTGGGTGTGCACTACCACCACTCATGGCTGCCCTCTTCCCTTTAGAACTACGGCTGCTCCGGCTCTGGGGTCTGGAACCCCGAACTCCTCCATGAGCCTTTTGTAGGAAGTACTTGGGGGCCCCGGGGCAGGTCCCGACCCTACCGTGGCATTGATGAAGAAGGCCCGCTCTCGGTTGCCAGCAGTGATGTTGAAGGTGAGGAGGGCATTGCAGCCGCTGTCGGCATCACTGGCCAGGATGTGGGCGACGAAGCTCGAGACAGGGCTGTTCTCGCTGATGGTGACGTTCATGGGAAGGTTCAGCAGCACCGGGTCGTTGTCGTTGATGTCCAGCACGCGGATTCCCACCAGCATCTGGGGGAGGAAGAGTCAGGGGTGGAGTGACAGCAGAGGAAGAGGGGACAGAGACAGAGGAAATGTAGCAAAGACATCCATCGAGAGAGGAAGGTTGTGGAGGGAGGGGAAGATGGAGGAAGAAAAACAGTTGAGCAGAAGGGGAGGAGAATGTACACAGTGTCAGGTTGGGATCGGGGCCAGAGGTCTAACAGGAAAAACAATCTCTTGAGAGGGGATTAGAGGGGAGAATCCTGGAGAGCCAAGGTCCCCAAGACTAAGGCGCTTCTGGTTTCGTGGGGCCAAGGGTGACAGCTTTCGGGCATTCAGTGTACAACAATGGATGCCATGGAGCTGGGCCAGACTCACCGTGGAGCTGAGAGGCGGTACCCCTCTGTCTCGGGCACAGATGGTCAGGTTGTAGAAGGCAATGGTCTCCCGGTCCAGTTCTACATCCTTTCGAACCCTCAGCACACCCTCCACGGGAGAAATCACGAACTCCCCTGGGAGCCACCAGAACAGGCCTACGTTAGCTGGTTCTGACAGAGATCCCCCTTCCTCCAGCCAGCCTGCCTCACAAATGCCAGGGCCAGCTGAGGTATGCGCCCTCCTGGGGCCCCGTATGGGCATAATGGGAGCGTGGCCCTGATACCACATGTGTATGTAATTGCTGACCAATCAGCTTCCCTCCCTGGCCTCGAGCTGGTCAGAGGGTGACCCAGGTGTGATAGTTATGTTGAAAAGCAGGGGTGGAATGTCTTTGTTTTTCTCTGTTTTGAGGCAAAGTTTCACGTAGTCCAGGCTGACCCTGAACTTCTGACCCTTATGCTTCTACGTCCCAAGTGCTGGGATTCCGGGAATGTGCCACCACCTCTGGCTTACTGGGCTTCCATCCTATGCAACACACTCTTCCTGACTCCTTGTGGTCAGAAACTCACAAGGGTATTTTAAGCACTTTGGAAAGTGTATTCTAGACAGGTTAGGAAAAAAAAGCCCAAGGTGAGCTGTAATGGCGTCTGGAGGCCTGGGCTGTGTCACAGCAGAACGTCACACAAGTGTCTAGGTGGGCCGACACTCGGGGACCAAAGAAGAGCACAGTGACCTGCCCTTTGCTTTATGCAAAAAGCATCATCAGTATTGCAGAGCTGGCTCTTTGCCTCTTCCTAGAAATCTCTTTCCTTTTGCTACAGGTTTTTGTTCTGTGACCACATTTCCTCCCTTGGGGTAGGGACAAATGGCTGAGAAGTTGGAGCACTTGCCACACAAGCATGAGGACCAGCAGAACTGAGGTTTGAGTCCGCTAGGACTCGGAGGGCTTTGTGCATAACACGCCTCAGGACTAAAAGTTTGAGAGAGAGTGGGGTGGGGGGACAGGGATGTGAGGACTGGAGGGAGCCAGTGGAGGAAGTGGGCGCCTCTGTGGAAATGGAGAAGGGGCTGGGGCTCTGGTGAGAACCCGAGGAATGGGTCATTTCTCCTCTGTACATGCTTCTAGGAACTGAGCTGGGGAGAAAACCATTCCCCTTCCTTTTGCCTTTTCCTTGAAACAGGGTCTCATGCTATAACCCAGGTTTACTTGGAATTGGTGGCAACCCCCTGCCTCAATGCTGTAATACAGGGTATGACCCACCACTCAGCCTTTTCTCTTCCTCTTGGCACTTGGGGCCCAGGCCCACAGTAGAGATCATGGCTTGGCAAAGATAGAGGCCTAAGCATTCTGGTGGCTTTTTTTTTTTTTTTTTTTGGCCTATCTCTCACGACCTAGGGCACTGACACCAGTCCTGAGCTCTGCCACCTGTCCCCAGCTGCTGCCACAACAGCCCCGATGCCCACCTACAGCTGGGATTTCCCACCAGTTCTTCCACTCCCAGGTTCCCTGGCTCCACTCCTGCCTAAGGGTGAGGAAGCTGTAGAAGCAGGATTTCCTGTGCTCTTGGCTCCAAGCTCTCCAAAGCATGGGGATTCCCTTTCTTGGGGTTTCCCAGCCCTGTTGACACCCTGCTATGTGCTGGCAAATGGCTTCCCTTCACAATGGCAAAGACAGGGGAGACATGATCACCCTGGAAGGCTTGGGGGAGCAGACCTGGGGTAGTAGTGGGAGTCTAGACAGTTAGATATTAGTCTCCTCAGCAACTAGCCCTGGCTGGAACTCCTGACACGCCCCTCCTCCTCAGTCCCACTCACTGGGAGACAGGAGGCCACAACCTTCTGCCCAGTTGTGTCTGGGCTACAGCCCGATTCTTCCCAAGGTTTGCCTTGATTGTCCCATCTGGAAAATGGGCTCCCAGATAGGCATCCTCTCGGGTTGGGCTGGCAACAAAGCAACTCTTAATATAGGAGGGGGATCCTGAAAGGGAGGTCCTATGTTCTCTGGGGGAGTAAAATCTTGTAAGGAAGATAGAGAGGTGGGCAAGGCCTCCTAGGATGGCTTGGTCAAAAGAGGTAACTGGGAGGTCTCAAGGGGGAGGAAGGGTTGGTGGTCAAAGCTCAAGTAGGGATGGCATGTTTCCCAATTCTTTTTCCCCAAGAATTGCTGAGGATTTTGAGTGCAAAGGTCCTGAGGTCTGAGCATCTCTGGTAGGCTCGAGGAACTGCGAAAAGACTGTGTCTACTGGGAGTCTGAGTAAGAGAACGAGGGGGAGGAGATGCTGTCTGTATGGCTTTGGGGACCACTGGAAGGACCTGGCACTTCCCGAGTGAGGTAGACACCCCGGGGACTTTGAGAATGGGAGGGACAGGACTTGACAACGGTCTTAAGGAGTTCACCATGGTTCCTATGCCTGGGACATTTTGGAGTGAAAGCGGGGAGGTCAGTTGAGAGCCACAAACACGTGGGCTAGAGATTGGGTAGGGGACCTGGGGGTGGGGAGCAGGCCCTGCAGGCTCAGGCAGCAGTGACCTTTGTGCTGAGTGGCCTGGGTGTGCCCCTTTATCTGCTGTCGGGACACAGGCTTGAGCTGGAGTCAGTCTACATTTCAGTTTCCAAGATGAGTCCTGGGGTGGGGGAGGGAGGGAAGAGAGATAGAGATAGAGAGACAGAGCACCTGAGTCAAGTCACGTCCCTCCCTTTAAGCACCATAGCGTCTACCTCATTCTGTAAATACCAAGTCGTCAAGATGGCATCATTTCTTTCTCCTCCTCTTCTTGCTCAAGTTCACACCAGACACAGAGCCTTTTTACAATTCCAACATCCTACCAGGCAAGCTTGGACCTCAGGGCCTTTGGGCTGGCTGTTCTCTCTGAATGTCTATTCCTCACCTGCCCACTTGGCTCATTTCTCTCCTGTGTCCCCTGGCATGTGACCAGCACATAGTAGGGCCTTATGAATAGTCCTGGAATGCTCCACTAGAAAGCAGGATATTTTACAAATATTTGATATCTGCTTTGGGTCTTAAGAATGGGCAGTCTGGCACCCCATGTGGGTGACTAGAGACTGCTACAGTTTCTGCCTCTTCCCCACTACAGTGAGGCCCCCTCCTTCCATGGAGGTTTTTTTTTTTTTTTTTTTTTTTGGATTGATTACCCGAGCCCCTGAAATTTGTGCTCTAGCTAACAAAATGTCTTGAGAGAGTGTTCTTCCAGGCTCCAGCCTCTGAGCCAGGTTGGCAGTCATGATAGCTGTGTAGGCCTTTTGGTTTTTATGGTTTGGGGTTTTTTTGTTTTTAAAGACAGCTTCTCACGGAGTAACCTTGGCTGGTCTTGAACTCACAGAGATCCACTTGCCTCTACTTCCTGAGTGCTGGAATTAAAAGCATGGGTCACCATGCCCAGCTGTGTAGGCTTTTGTGGGGTGACAGAGGTAGGTATTCAGAGGAGCCCAGTGCTCCCCAAATATATTACCCTGGGTCCTGGGGTCCTGAGGTACATGTGGCGAGGAGGCTTGCCTCCCTCCACCTGGATGTTTCCCTAGAGAGAGCTAGGACTCTCCAAGGCTACCAGCCTGCGTCCCACATGCCATGGCATTCTCCTCATAGCCCTGTGACTAAGGCATGTGGAGCTGAGGCCCAGAGAGGGAAGGTCACACGGTGGTTGGTGAACTGTGCGGCGGACTCCCTCACCCCAGCCCTGAGCAGGTGAAGGAAGGTCATGCCCACCCCACTGCCCAGCATAGGCTCCACTTACCCAGAGGGTCTCCATCCACAACACTGTACTCCACCTGCCCATTGGGACCTGAGTCCCGGTCGTGGGCCAGGAATGTCCACACTCTGGGCCCTGGCTGGCCCTCGGTGACATCAAATGGTCCTTCATAGTCTCGAGGGAAAGTGGGCACGTTGTCATTGATGTCATTCACATTCACAAGCACCTGAGACAGCAAGCAGCTTAGCCAGGATTGGCCCCAGATGCCTGGGGAACCTCAGCAACTGTACCATCTGGTGCCCATGGCCATGGGTGGGTGCTGTAGAGTGTCACAGGGTGGGAGGGCAGCTAAGCCGTGCACGTGTGGGCGCCAATTCAAGTCACCACTTATCTTTGTGTGTGTGTGTGTGGTGGTTCTGGGACTCGAACTCACGACCTTGCACATGATAGGCAAGTACTCTACCATTGACCTTCACCCCAGGCCTTTTTTGGGGGGAGGCACAGAGTCTTTCTACATAGCCTGAGCTGGTCTTGAACCTGTACTTCTCCTATCTCTACTTTATATGTATCTTTATGAGCATGATCAATTGATACTACCACCATGGCCTATACTCTGGACATCTCACGTGGTTCCATTTGCTCCCCCTGTATCCTGAACCACAGTTTTCATTCATGAGGAAACAGAAGCTCAGGGAGGTTAAGAGATTTGTCCAGGTTCACAAAGCCAGGAAGTGGAAGAGCAGGGAAGGGACCTGAGTCACTACTAGTTGGACCAGAAGGCACGCTTTTCCCATAAAGGGGGCAGGGCATGCAGGTGTTTTCACTCATGTGCTAGACACAGTCACAGAGAAGCTAAGTGACTACCTCACAGTAACACAGCAAGTCTGGGGATAGGCTGCTGAGCTGATCAGGAGCCCTTGCATTCAGGCACTTCCTCCCAATGGGCATTTCTCCTCCTTCCCCTTCCGCCATGGAGCCCCCGGGTCCTCTCTGTTCTCCCTCATCTCCACATTGAGGATGCACTTCATCTACATACCGTGGTAGTGGAGGTGAGGCGGTGGGACAAGATGGGACACTGGTCTGTGGCAGTGACCATCAGGGTGTAGCGGCCATGACTGATCTCATAGTCTAGCTCCTTGGCAGCAGTAATGACACCCTGGGGACACAGGAAGTACAAGGGGAGGGGTGATGAGTGATGACCCTGGGCCACTGGAGATTATACCAAGTAAACCCTGACATCCTAGCCATAATTGCTGTGCCTGTGACAGACAGCACTAATCAATCACAGCACCACTGAAGGCAGATAGATCCTATCCACTAGAGCTCACCCCCCCCTACCCCCGCCGCCCCCGTAACTCTGTCACTGGGCACTCCAATTTCCTCTTAGGCTATCTTTGCTCCTTATGCCCTATGACATCACCAAGATTCCCACCAAGCCCCTGAGAGACTTTGCAACCTCCTGGACCCCACCCCCAGCTGCTGACCGTGTGCCTGTTGATCCGGAAGGTATTGATGATGTTGCCTCCTACGATGGCATAGGTGACAGTGCCATTCGGCCCCTCATCCAGGTCCAGTGCCTGGACGGTGATAAGGCTGGCGTTGACTGTATCCGGGCCCTCATCCAGCACCACCTCATACTGTGGCTGCTGGAACACAGGAGCATTATCATTCTCGTCCACGATGGTCACATACACGTGGGTGGTGGCCTAGAGAGAAGAGCATGATCAGGCACCTTGGTTATGGAAGCCAGAGAGGATCAAGGTGGTTCCAGATGTCTGTTTGGGTTAAACTCACTCAGTGTGATCCATTATACGATCCAATATAGGGAAGACAAGAAGAGAGATGGGTTGGGAAAGAAGTCACAGGCTAGTAGGACAAAGCATAGAGGCTTTGTAAAAACCAAGTCAGATAATTGTTTAGGGCCAGGTTGGCACACATATCACCATTTTCTATGTCTATATTCATGGCAGACATCACCAATCAATCAGAGCACTGCTGAGGCCAGATGCAAGCTTGAAATTCTTGTCAACACAGTGATCCAGTGATTAAACCAGCATATAGAACTAGGCATAGTGGCAAACATCTGTAATTCAACACTTGGGAGACAGAGACAAGAGAATTGCTACAAATTCAAGGCCAGCCTAGCCACCACAGTAAGACTGAGGTTAATCATGGTTACATAGTGATACTCTGTTTCAAAGAAATCAGTCCCCACAAGCCCTCTGGATGTATGGGATGAACTTCAGTAGCCTCTCCAATTTAGAATATTGTCGGTAATATTCTTAACCAGAATGTGAGGTCTTCAGCCCAATGTGTAAGTTAAAAAAATATCCATTTCTAGTACTTTAAAGAGGTAGGACTTCATGTTTGGGCAATTTCATGGTTAGCATTTGTTGACATCTAAAAAGTCAAACCCATTGGCTATAACTTCACTGTAAGTTTTGTGGTCCTGTGATTGGCTATCTCTAGCTGATGCTTGGACCATCAGACCATGAATCAGAACTTGGTGGTCAGCACTCATATTGCTGATGGCTGACTGTACACAATCAGAATGGGAAATGCAGACAGCCTCCCTGTGTGCTTGACTCTTCCTCCTTTTCTACCTTCCAGTTGGGAGGCTGCTCTTTTGGACCTGCCCGGGACACTTTGCTAACTGGCTTCTAGAACTGGCCAGTGGAAATTCCTGGCAGAAGACAGGATGGGGGATGAAGGTCAGGTGGGTAGGCTCCTTTGACCCCTCCACTCCTCACTGTAGTTCCATCCCCATTGTGTGTCTCCTGCTGGGGACCCTCCAAGCTCTAGTTCTTTTTTTGATTTTTGATTTTTTTGAGGCAGGGTTTCTCTGTAGCTTTGGAACCTGTCCTGGACCTAGCTCTTGTAGACCAGGCTGGCCTTGAACTCACAGAGATCTGCCTGCCTCTGCCTCCGAGTGCTGGAATTAAAAGCGTGCGACACCACTGCCTGGCCAAGCTCTAGTTCTTTCTGGGATCTGATGTCATCTCCTTTGTGATAGTTAAGGTTGATCCTTGTCTTAGTTGGGTTTCTGTTACTGCCTTTGAACAACTGCGGAGGAAAGAGTTTATTTGGTTTATATTTCCCCATCACAGTCATTGAGGTTAGTCAGGGCAGGAACTTGAGTGTGGCAATATATTTTACTGAAAATACCTCTTCCCTTTAAAGAGACTGAAATTTGGTTGGACCTTGCAGTCAAGTTCATAACCTGCCCTGAGAGCTATGCAGTTAGCCCGCTGCCCTGCTGTGCACTCAGCTTGTTTTAAGTTTAACCTGCTTTTAAGAGAACCACATAACCAGTCTTACTACGCCTTGATTGCCCATGCCACCATCTTTTACAATCTAAGCTCATGCACGGCTTTACGCTGAAGCTATGTACTCTTCTGTGCCCCGACCCAGAATAAAGCACACGTGTATGCGCGTGTTGTGCTGAGCGTTTGCTGAAAGCAGCCAACAGATTAAAAGCAACCTTAAATAACAAGTATCCCACAAATGTTGGAAGCGACACGTGGCTACAGGTAGATAACATCTACATGGTTTTGAGTGCTGCTCTGGGTCTCTGAAATAACTGTTTCCCTCGTAAAGCTCTGTTAAAGATCTCTGTAAAGAATCCCTCATTTTCACACCATGTCTTCTGTATTCTTCAATAAATGCAGAGGAAAAGGCTTTGCTAGGGAGAGACACAGAGAAAGACACAGATCTCTCTCTCTCTCTGTCTCATACACACCAGGTAGTCACAGACAAGACACAAGATACACAGGAACAACAGATAGGGACCAGGGCCTGACCAGACACACACCAGATACCAGACAGTCCAACAACCACAACTACAGACACAGACAGCCCACAGAGAGAAGTGGGGAATTCAAACTTGGGCTCTCTCGGTCAACTTCTTCAAGAGCAAAGCTAGTTTTCATCCCTTAATGTGACACAGACACATCTGGCCACTCCCTCTGAGGTTTCTTTAAGCCATGCGCCCAATCAGGAACCTGGAGACAGGAACTGAAGCAGAGACCATGAAGGAATGCTTACTGGCTGGGTCAGTTTGCTTTCTTATATAATCCAGGCCCAATGGTAGCTCCCCACCCCAACCCACCCATAGGCTGGGCTCTCCCATACCAATCGTTAATCAAGAAATGGCCCCAATGGGGTTAGAGAGATGGCTCAATGGTCTGCTCTTCTAAAGGTCCCGAGTTCAATTCCCAGCAACTACATGGTGGTTCACAACCATCTGTAATGAGATCTAGTGCCCTCTTCTGGCCTGCAGGCATGCATACAGGCAGAATACTATATACACAATAAATAGACCACAAAGATTAAAAAAGAAGAAAAGAAATTGCCCCACACACTTGCCTACTGGTATCTGACATAGGCGATCCCTCAACTGAGGTTGCCTCTTCCCAGATGATTCTAGCTGTGTCCAGCTGATAGAAAACTAACCAGCCCAATTGTTAATTCGAATCTAGGATCACCTAAGAGACAGACTTCTGGGCGTGTCTATGAGTTTCTATATGGGATTGAGATGAGCCCACTCTAACTGGGGGCGGCACCATTCCATGAGTCGGGGCCCTAGACTGACTAGCAAAGAGAAAGGGAGCTGAGCACCAGCGTCCGTCTCTGAGTACGAACTGTGGATGTGAGCAATGGCTGCAATATGAGAAGCAGCCTTAACCCCCTACTGACACGACTTCCCCAGCACGGTGGGCTGTATCCTAGGATGGCCCCAACTGAACCCTTCCTTCCTGGAGTTGCTCCTTACCAGGCTTGTCACAGCCACAAGGACCATCACCAACACATCCCTCTTCCCCATGGCTCACGCTGGGGATGTCTTCTTGTGGCTGCTGGTCTCTGGCTAGTCCCCTTTACAGAGTCCTCCCATTAAACCTTGGAGTCAAGCCTTTCCTGCATATACCACAACTCCTGCAGCTACCCTGGCTGAAGCAAACTGCCATCTCTGGATTGACTATGAGATGTCCCCACAGATTCCCGGGTTGAAAGCTTGGTTCCCAGCTGACCATACCATTTTTGAAGGTAATAGAAGCTTTGGGAAGTGGGGCCAAGCTGGAGAAAGTAGGCTACTAGGGGGCATGCTCTTGGTGATGATACCTGATCCCCAGTTCCTTCCTCGCTCTCTGCTTCCTGTTACTACGAGGTGAGAAGCCTCTGCCATAGACACCTACCACCATGTTCTTCTCGAGTACATGGGACCAAGCAAATCTGCACAGGAACCTCTAAAATACCCAAACGCAGCATTTCTCCTTTAAGTTGTTCTTTCAGAAGGTGCGTGCGTGTGTGTGTGTGTGTGTGTGTGTGTGTGCATGCGCGCCTTTAATTCCTGCAGAGGCAGAGGATCTCTTTGAGTTCAAGGTCAGCCTGGTTTACAAGAGCTAGTTCCAGGACAGGCTCCAAAGCAACAGAGAAACTCTGTTTTAAACAACAAACAAACAAAAAACCTGGTACTCACCAGTTAGGGCAAAGAGCCCCAAGGATCCTCTCGTCTCTGTGTCCCCGGTACTGGGATTACAAGTACCAGGTGTTTTCTTTTGGGACACCAATCAGCTAATAATGGAGACGCCTTAGTTTTGAATGCTTGACCTCAGTTTAGCTCTTTACTGGCTAGGTCTAGTAGCTTAAGCCTGTTCCTCCTTAAGGACCGGTTGCCTTGGGGCCTTTTACGTTTTTTTTTTTTTTTTATTTCTTGCTGTCCTTCTCCTGACTCACCGACAGCTGCCTGGCTTCTGGCCCTGGGCATGCCCCTCATTCTCTCCTCTTTTCCTCTTTTCTCCATCTTCCTTCTTCTTTCTCTCCAGCCTAGATTTCTCCTCTTATTTACTCTCTCTGCCCACCAGCACAACCTACCCTTTCTCTTGCCTCGCTATTGGCTGTTCAGGTCTTTATTAGACCGCAGCACAAACGTATTCCTCAGAATAAACAAATGCAACACATCTTTGCCTAGTTAAAGTAATATTCAATAACAAGTATAGGTACAGGCCACCACATCGTACTTCTTGGAGGGGGGGCCCATTCAGCATTTTACCAACTGGGCCGTCTGCCCAGCCCTCCCTCGGGGATTTTGGTCTCAGCTATACAAAAGTGATAAACTATCATTGGGCGTCACTGCGAAATAAGGAGGCTAGAAGAACTGCAGAGATAGCTGGGTAAGGGGACATGAGCAGGCCACCGCCACGGATACACGGAAGACAAGATACACGGTGGTATGAACAGGGCAATTGACACAACATAGCTGCAAACAGGGATCCCACCACCCTGGTCCCTGACACTATACTTGTTCTGTCCTCTATCTTTTAGCCAGGGACCACGAGGAGTTCAACATTCTCCTCGGCACTCACCACAGGTCCCCATCGGTCACATCTATTCGAGCAGTGTCTACATTCAGGTCTGCCACTCAGGTGGCCGAGCAGCAGACAGTCTTTTCATGTCTGTCCTGTCGAAGGGACTCAATCACAGTGGGAAGCTGGGCCTGTGTTGGACAGGCCTGCAATCTCAGATACTGGAGAGGCTCTGATCACAAGTTCGAGACTACCCTGTGCAACTTACTGAGAAGTTGGACGAGAGAGGAAGAAAAGGATGGTGACCCAGTTTGGCGGCAGAACACTTGCCTAGCATGTGTGAATCCTGGGTTCAATGCCAGCACAAAAATAGGGTGAATATGAGGATCACTGGGAGCTGGGATACCCTCAGTTGGTAGAGTACTTGCCTAGAATGTGTCTGACTCAAAACATAGGGCACGATAGCACATACCTGTAATCCCAGCACTCAGGAGGTAGAGGTAGAAGGATTAGAAGTTCACAGGAAGGTCAAGCCTAGTCTGAGCTCATGAGAATCTATATCTATATATCTATAGAGGGCAGAGGGCGCGGAGTTCTGCACTACTGTAATCCCAGCATGCAATAGGCCGAGGTCGGAGAATCTTGAGGCCAGCCTGAGCTACACAGCAACGCCCTGCCTTAAAAAGCTAAAGCCTTAAAAGCCACAAAACCCCAACAACAAACAAAACAACACAAACCAAACAAAAATAAACAACCACGTGTAAACTAAAACAAAACAGAATGAAGTGAGTCTAAGGATAACTGGGCACCAGTGGGCAAAGCCCTGGGGGAAAAAGCCATGGGGCATGCCAACAGATGTGGCTGCCCGTCCTGAGTTGGGAAGTTCTGGACTGGTGAATGCCTTGCTGCATTTCAGGTGGGTATGCATGCAGGCGCAGGTGTACTAAGGTGTCTCAACTGCAGAGCATACAAGCGCAGAGAAGGCCAAGACCCCTCCCACTTGCTGAACTCACTGTGGACTACAGATTTCACTGACTTATCCATCCTTACACCCCCACACCCACCCATTCCTTCCTTCCTTCGGCAGCAGGAACTTAACCCTGGGCGTGCTGGAGCCTGTAGAAACAAAGTTCTGGCCTCCAGACTATGTGAACTGTAAATCTGGCCGGGTTAGACTGGGATTCATTCCTTAGTGTGCACGGCATACATAATCTCTGAAAAGCACCTAGAGAGACAGTAGAAAGGTCTTTATAGAAGGAAGTGGCTGGTTGGACACTTGCCACGTCTATCTACTTGGAGACACAGTACCGCCCGCCGCCCAGCGGGGGCGCTGCTGGGCGGGGAGCTGGCCTGGGTTACGCACACACTCAACACACTCACTCCGACAGGCGGTGTGTACAGCAGGATCCCTGTACTCCCGGAGCCCCGCTTGCTCCACGCGCACCCCAGCAGTCTGTGTCTGCTCTTCCTCGGCTCGACGGCGACATGGGTGTCCCCACGGTCCCAGAGGCCTGCGGCTTGCGCTGTGGGACCCTGCTCCTCGCTCTTTTCCTGACTGCATCCAGAGGTAAAGTCTGCAGGCGGCGGCGCATAGGGGAAGAGAGCCTGGGAGTACAAGCCGGGTAGGGTGGAGGGACCCAGGCAGGATGGGAGTGCCCTGAATCCCCTCAGCCTGCGGTGATCCCCACCCTACCGCTGCTCTGGGGCTGCTGGGACAGCCCAGCAGGGTGTAGTGGTGGCCGAGCACATCTGTCAGTGCTAACAGCTGCCAAAACTGCAGGCAAAGGTGTCTCTAGGGGACTGCCTGCGACACTTCCCTGCCCAGAGAACCGGGAGCAGGGGTCATGAAGAGCTTCTGCAAGGCAGGAAAGGGACGTGGAGAGAGTCACCTGCTCCTTTAGTAGTTGTTGACTGGCTTTTGACACCTGGGGAATCTCCCTGCCTTCCTGCTCCAGAGTCTTAGAGGGCTTGGGGGGTGTGGTGCTGTAACCCAATACCCCTTCCCTTTGACACTCTTGGATGAGTTTTGATGGGCACTCCCAGATCTGGGCAGTTTTGTCTCTTGCTCTGTATTGAAATCTGATGACCCATTTGGGCGATCAGTGAGTCTTGTGGTGGCCATACTGAGCAGCCAGTATGGAGTACTGGGGAAGAGAGGGGACACTCCCTGAAGAACCACACACAGGGAGGTGTCACTTCCAAAATCCAGAGTCACAGTTTTCATCTTGTCCCAGGACACAGCCGTTCCCCAGAGCCTGGTCCTTACTTGCCCGGAGCAGAAGAGCTTAAAGAACAAGGGGGTATTCTGATAGGTGGCCAGGTGGTAGCCAAGGGTGTCCCTTGGAGACTGCCTGCCCCATCCTTCCCTGCTTAGAAAACCCAGGACACAAGTAGCTTCTGCAAGCTGGAGAAAGGGTCCAGGCAGGGACAGTGTCAGTCGTGTCCGGGTGGAGGTGGTGGGCTCGCCAGAGGGAGCCAATGGGCCGATCAGAAAAGAAAGAAGAAAGTTGACGTAAGGAAAGGGAGGAGAGGCAGAGAACTTCTTATCAACACTGGGAGGCAGGCCTGGACCTCTGATAAGGAAGAAGGCACCCACACCCTACAGACAGAATAATGTGAGCCTGGCCTGGATGATCCCTGACACTCAAAGGGAGAGACTGAGGCAGGGATGGGGTGGTTCAGGTCTGTGTGTGGGAATGCCCAGCACCAAGGTCAAGGCTCCTTGAACGATATGGCTTTCAGGAACGGGGGACAGCGGCTGGCAGGAAGACCAGTACTGCATATACCACAGGCTACCATCTTCCCCTCAAGTGACTCCCCAAGGCCCCCTTTCTTGTCCCTTCCCTATCCTCTGTTCATCAGCCCCAATTTGGGGAACTAAGTCCCAGAGATTCCGAGTAGAGGGGCACAACTTGCAGAACATTCAACAGCAAAGAGGCCCTGAGGGGAGCTGGGAATCCGCACCCTACTGTGCCTCCAAACCCAGAAGACTGCACAGCCATGGCTTTTGGCTACTCAATCTACTTGGTGAGCTGAGGGCCACCTCCCCATGGTTCAGCTCAGGGAGGTCATTAGGGGTCTGGGTGGCTTTCAGGAAAGGGACGAAGAAGGAGTCTTTCAGCCTGATGCTGCTCTGACTTCAGCACTGGCTATAACCTCAGTTATAAACACAATCATGCATGCTTTTCTTTTCTTTCCTATAGCAGACATGGTGGTCAGGAGGTGTGGGGGCTGAGGACACTCACCAGTCAGCTGACGTGCTGGGTTCCCTTGGGCAGAACGGCATTTGGGGCAGGGTGAAATGGGAGTCTGCGGGGAACTTCAAGAGGTCAGAGCTTAGGAGGCACTTGGAGCACAGAAAACACACTCCTTTCCTAGCCTGTCATGGGCTGAGATGAGGGTGGAGGGGGTGGGGGGGGTATTGCCTTGAGAGCCAGGAGCCAGCAGACCCCAGGTGGTACAGGATCTCTTCTGCACAGCGTTCCTAAGGTTTGAGGAAGTTACTACCTTGCCTGTCCCCAGTCTGACCCAGGAGCCCCTTTCACGCAGGCACTGGTGTGGGAGACTGGCAGCTGTCTTCCCTTTCATGGTAAACAAGGCTGCAAAGCCCTATTGAGTAAACTCAGTGCTGCAAGCCTCTGATCTGGTAGTGGTCAGCTCTTAGGAAATCATATAAGCCCTGCTCAGCAGCCTGAGACTAGAGATGGCCATGCCATGGGATGCCCAGGGGCCAGAAATTCCTAAGAGTACTGAGCTAGGCTGGCTGCAAGGCTACTGTGGATTTAGGAAAGGGGTACCAGATGGAAGCTACAGGATACAGGATCTTAGGTCCAAGCAGGAGAAACAGAGGGTCCTCAGGGCTCATGTGGCCTGTTGGTACTGGCTGAGTCTTGGACTTGAGGTCCTAGGTTCAAAGGCAACTGTTGCCCAGGACCATTCTGGCCTTGCCACCTATGGATCCCTTTTGAAGGACTGGCTGGACCATGGCCTTCCTGATGTTTAAGCAAGGGGTTTGGTATATAGCTGTATGGCAGAACTTCCTCCAGCTCTTGCTTAACTGTTTTGTAGTTAGACCTGTGTTCAAATCTTAACTGGCCTTATGTGAGCTGGGCAAGCTTCTTAGTATCTTTGATCAAGTCTTCATATATACTAAAGGGCAATGGTCCATCCTCAGACACAGCTGTGTGGAGGAGCTGATGGGTGAAACTTCCCATGATGCCTGGTCTTTGTGATGTCGGTAGTGGGTCCTTTCCTGGTTTCTGAGGACTCCATACCAGTGGCTTTCTGAGTTTTTACTGCCTACAGAGCCCCCAACGAGCGTCCAGGACAGAGGATGCCATGGAGAAAATATCACTGGGAATGCATTTCCTAGACTCCTAATGCCTGAAGGATGCCCAGGTTGGTTCTAGCTACCCAACTGGACCAAGAGTCTGAAATGGCCAGGCACCTTTAATCCCAGCACCCAGGAGGCAGAGGCAGGCAGATCTTTGTGAGTTTGAGGCCAGCCTGGTCTACAGAGTGAGTTCCAGGACAGGCTCCAAAGCTACAGAGAAACCCTGTCTCAAAAAACCACCACCACTACCACCACCAACAACAAAAGAGTGTGAATGGCCATGGGGTGTCTGTGGTTTTCTTCCTAAATCCTCTAGAGATGAGGCCACAACAGCCAGCCTGGCCTAGTGCGGGCTTATCTGTGGGCTTTCTCTCACATTCCGTTTGCATATTCAGCCCATTCTCTGTTGACCACCTCCAGAGCAAAGCAAGGGCCCCGTGTTCCCCATCATGAACTTGCTGTGTTCAGCTACAAACCAAGCCCTCACACTGGCCTTTCTACCTAGGGTCTTAGCTTCCAAGGAGACCCCAGTCCTGCCTGAGCTACTCCCTCAGCATGGGGCCCCAAGCACACACCTCCCCCCAACCGAGCCAGAGCCATGTACAGGCTGGGTGACATATAGTTGCAGATGGCCGCTGCTCTCCGGGGAGGGTAATTCCCCTTGGTGCATTCTGGGTCCGTTTGCTCATCACCTGTACGTAATATCTGACGAACATTTACCTACTTGTTTTTCCTTTAAATCTACACTTTTCTTTAACGTAAAAAAAAATTTTAAAGGAAATTTTAAGTCAGTGTCACAAGTGGAAAGCGGGTATCATCGGCCACAAATAGAACATATAGAAGAACCCCATTGGCAAGCCAAATAAGGGAATTAAATGTTAGTTGGAAACTTAAGCTGAACCAGACTCAGCATGTAAAGCCTGTTGCTGTTTCTTTGTAGAAATAAATTAAGTAAAAAATTAAAAAAAATTTTTTGATGATACAGTGGCATCAGCCCTGACTTTCTCTTTGATAGAATCTGGGCTAAGAGAACACTGAACGGGGACCAAATGTCTCTCTTTATGATTCCGTGTTCTTTAATGTAAAATCAAAAGTAAAACTACTTGAGTTATTAATGCTGCCAGGCAAACTAAGTCCTCATTGGCTAGGTCAGGTGTCCATCTGTGGGAAGGAGGTGGAGCCAATCTCGGGTTGCCTCTGGTTTCTAGAGACAACATCTGCTCCCAGAGGCTGGGGTTAGAATTCTGTCCACAACATATTCTCTGTGAGACTATAGACAGGTTTCTTTTGTGTTTTGGCTTCCTAACCCAAGTTTCTATTTCACAGGCTTGGAAATTAATTAAAAAACAAGTCCATGTCTGAGTGCTTGGAACAATCCTACCAAGGGAGCCCCTTGCATGGATGGAATCAGATATTAGGAAGTCTCCCTGGTTGTAGTGGCCATGAGGTTGAGTCCTCCTCAGAGAGGCCTTGAGTCTGGGTTGGAATCCTTCAGAGGAGTCTTCCCAAGCCAGGGCCCTTGGCCCACTGCCCAGACCCTCCCCAGGAGGCACAGTGACTAGGGCCTCTATCCCTGGATGCAGGCCGTTTTCCCAAGGTGCTGGAAGTGTGGCTTCCTCCCATAGAGCCCTGCTTCCCCTTCCCAGCCTCCTTGGTCCATGTGAAAGGACACTTCCTGCTGGGGCAGGGATCAATAAACACATCTGAGATACCCTTTGTCCTCCCTAGCTAGACAACCCTCTGCACAGACTTGCTGGCTTCAGCCTGCAGCCTTCACCCTGGGGCACTTCCTCTGGGTTTTGATTGGACCCTGCCTCTGTTTCCCTGTGTACTGTAAGTCTTGCTAATGATATAGCCCAGCCTTTCCCTTTAGGCACCTGGAGACCATCTGGGAAATGGGGCCTCTGAGCTGGGACCTGTTCCCATGCCCGGGAGGCCAGAGTTCCCATCTCTCTCCTCAGTTTAAGACTAGCAACTGTAGACAGTCAAATAATTGTTTACTTGGCAAGCTAACAGCTGGACAGACCTCAGCTGTCTGAGTAGGGCTTTCCTGACCTGGCCAATCAAGCTCCAAAACTTAGGACCTACCTCCAAAACTTCTGGGGGGTTGCCTTGGTGACTGTGGGTAAAGCTAGCTCCTGAGAAAAATTTACAATACGAAAGCTTGTCCACACCCACACACACCCATCCCCTATACGCCCACAGAGCCTGCTGTGTGGCAAGAGATGACGGCC